AGGGAATGTAACATGTCATCATTAACCCACACAGGGAATGTAACATGTCATCATTAACCCACACAGGGAATGTAACATGTCATCATTAACCCACACAGGGAATGTAACATGTCACCATTAACCCACACATGAAATGTAACATGTCATCATTAACCCACACATGAAATGTAACATGTCATCATTAACCCACACAGGGAATGTAACATGTCATCATTAACCCACACATGAAATGTAACATGTCATCATTAACCCACACAGGGAATGTAACATGTCATCATTAACCCACACAGGGAATGTAACATGTCATCATTAACCCACACAGGGAATGTAACATGTCATCATTAACCCACACAGGGAATGTAACATGTCATCATTAACCCACACAGGAAATGAAACATGTCATCAGAAACCCACACAGGAAATGTAACATGTCATCATTAACCCACACAGGGAATGTAACATGTCATCATTAACCCACACAGGGAATGTAACATGTCATCATTAACCCACACAGGGAATGTAACATGTCATCATTAACCCACACAGGGAATGTAACATGTCATCATTAACCCACACAGGGAATGTAACATGTCATCATTAACCCACACAGGGAATGTAACATGTCATCATTAACCCACACAGGGAATGTAACATGTCATCATTAACCCACACAGGAAATGAAACATGTCATCATTAACCCACACAGGGAATGTAACATGTCATCATTAACCCACACAGGGAATGAAACATGTCATCATTAACCCACACAGGGAATGTAACATGTCATCATTAACCCACACAGGAAATGAAACATGTCATCATTAACCCACACAGGGAATGTAACATGTCATCATTAACCCACACAGGGAATGTAACATGTCATCATTAACCCACACAGGGAATGTAACATGTCATCATTAACCCACACAGGGAATGTAACATGTCATCATTAACCCACACAGGGAATGTAACATGTCATCATTAACCCACACAGGGAATGTAACATGTCATCATTAACCCACACAGGAAATGAAACATGTCATCATTAACCCACACAGGGAATGTAACATGTCATCATTAACCCACACAGGGAATGTAACATGTCATCATTAACCCACACAGGGAATGTAACATGTCATCATTAACCCACACAGGGAATGTAAACATGTCATCATTAACCCACACAGGGAATGTAACATGTCATCATTAACCCACACAGGGAATGTAACATGTCATCATTAACCCACACAGGGAATGTAACATGTCATCATTAACCCACACAGGGAATGTAACATGTCATCATTAACCCACACAGGGAATGTAACATGTCATCATTAACCCACATAGGGAATGTAACATGTCATCATTAACCCACATAGGGAATGTAACATGTCATCATTAACCCACACAGGGAATGTAACATGTCATCATTAACCCACACAGGGAATGTAACATGTCATCATTAACCCACACAGGAAATGTAACATGTCATCATTAACCCACACAGGGAATGTAACATGTCACCAGAAACCCACACAGGGAATGTAACATGTCATCATTAACCCACACAGGAAATGAAACATGTCATCATTAACCCACACATGAAATGTAACATGTCATCATTAACCCACACAGGGAATGTAACATGTCATCATTAACCCACACAGGGAATGTAACATGTCATCATTAACCCACACAGGGAATGTAACATGTCATCATTAACCCACACAGGGAATGTAACATGTCATCATTAACCCACACAGGGAATGTAACATGTCATCATTAACCCACACAGGGAATGTAACATGTCATCATTAACCCACACAGGGAATGTAACATGTCATCATTAATCCACACAGGGAATGTAACATGTCATCATTAACCCACACAGGGAATGTAACATGTCATCATTAACCCACACAGGGAATGTAACATGTCATCATTAACCCACACAGGGAATGTAACATGTCATCATTAACCCACACAGGGAATGTAACATGTCATCATTAATCCACACAGGGAATGTAACATGTCATCATTAACCCACACAGGGAATGTAACATGTCACCAGAAACCCACACAGGGAATGTAACATGTCATCATTAACCCACATAGGGAATGTAACATGTCATCATTAACCCACACAGGAAATGAAACATGTCACCATTAACCCACACAGGGAATGTAACATGTCACCAGAAACCCACACAGGGAATGTAACATGTCATCAGAAACCCACACAGGGAATGTAACATGTCATCATTAACCCACACAGGGAATGTAACATGTCACCAGAAACCCACACAGGGAATGTAACATGTCATCATTAACCCACACAGGAAATGTAACATGTCACCAGAAACCCACACAGGGAATGTAACATGTCATCATTAACCCACACAGGGAATGTAACATGTCATCATTAATCCACACAGGAATGTAACATGTCATCACCAAACCCACACAGGGAATGTAACATGTCATCATTAACCCACACAGGGAATGTAACATGTCATCATTAACCCACACAGGGAATGTAACATGTCATCATTAACCCACACAGGGAATGTAACATGTCATCATTAACCCACACAGGGAATGTAACATGTCACCAGAAACCCACACAGGGAATGTAACACGTCATCATTAACCCACACAGGGAATGTAACATGTCATCATTAACCCACACAGGGAATGTAACATGTCATCATTAACCCACACAGGGAATGTAACATGTCATCATTAACCCACACAGGGAATGTAACATGTCATCATTAACCCACACAGGGAATGTAACATGTCATCATTAACCCACATAGGGAATGTAACATGTCATCATTAACCCACACAGGGAATGAAACATGTCATCATTAACCCACACAGGGAATGTAACATGTCATCATTAACCCACACAGGGAATGTAACATGTCATCATTAACCCACACAGGGAATGTAACATGTCATCATTAACCCACACAGGGAATGTAACATGTCACCAGAAACCCACATAGGGAATGTAACATGTCATCATTAACCCACACAGGGAATGTAACATGTCATCATTAACCCACACAGGAAATGTAACATGTCATCAGAAACCCACACAGGAAATGAAACATGTCATCATTAACCCACACATGGAATGTAACATGTCATCATTAACCCACACAGGGAATGTAACATGTCATCATTAGCAGGACATTCTTTGTGTGGGTTTCTAGAGACATATTTTTTGGGTTAAAATGGGAAAAGACGCGTTGCCACTTTAACAAGCACCTGGTAAGAGGCAACTAGCTATGGGTGTTTCCTTCAAACCAACAGTATGCATAAAAATGAGCCAGATCTGTAAAATGGATGTGCAAGCAAAACTCAAGTTCTGGAACAATACCAAACTCCAGAAGTGGATGAACAACCAGGACTTTCTGACAGTGAGCGCTAAGAAAAGAAACAAGATTTGCAGAACATTTCACTTAAAGCCAGCCAGAAAGCAGAGAGATGGAAAACAACCAGACTGGATGGGCAGCCAGAAAACAGTCAGAAAATAGCCAGTCTGAACCGGCAGCTAGAAAACAGACGGACAGAAAACAGCCAGTCTAAATGGGCAGCCAGAAAACAGACAGATGGAAAACAGCCAGTTTGAATAAGTAGCCAGAAAACAGACAGAAATAACTAGCTGGCCAAGAATGAAGACGTTTACAAAATGTTTGGGATGAGTTGGTTGAGGGTCAGGGAATAGTTGGTTGAGTGTCAGAGATGAGCTGGCCAGAGATGAAAAACAGAAGAAAATAAAAGTCATTTTCTACATTAAAAAATATGAACAACAATAGCATATGTGTGTTTTTAATTCACAATAAGAAAATATCAGCAATCAAAATATCATGAGCTAAAGGATGTTTTGTGTGTGTGTGTGTGTGTGTGTAATGATAAGAATTTTTTTGGGAATACACTTAAGAAATGATAAAAATCAAATATGTTTTGTTTGTAACAAGTTGAAAAAACAAGTTATCAAGTAGTTGAATGTTCATGAGTCGAACTCCTACCTTATAGACTGTACCAAATGCTCCTGACCCAATAATGGCACCTCGCCGAAGTTCCTCTTCGCTGATAATTCTCATCTGAGCCAAGTCAGGCTTGGCATTTGTCGGGGTCAGAGGCTGCAGCAAACAGTGATAAACAGTTTATTATAGCATCTTTTACAGTGATAAACAGTTTATTATAACATCTTCTTCAGTGATAAACATTTTCTTATAACATTTACCACAGTCATAAACAGTTTATTATAACATCATCTACAGTGATAAACAGTTTTTTATAACATTTTTTCACAGTGATAAACAGTTTTTTATAACACCTTTCACAGTGATAAACAGTTTATTATAACATCTTCTACAGTGATAAACAGTTTATTATAACATCTTTCACAGTTATTAACAGTTTCTTATAACATCTACCACAGTGATAAATAGTTTATTATAACATCTACCACAGTGATAAACAGTTTATTATAACATCTACCACAGTGATAAACAGTTTATTATAACATCTACCACAGTGATAAACAGATAAACAGTTTATTATATCTACCACATATAACATCTAACATCTACCACAGTGATAAACAGTTTATTATAACACCTACCACAGTGATAAACAGTTTATTATAACATCTTCCGCAGTCCTAAACAATTTATTATGACATTTACCCAGCAAATAAAGATTAACAGTTGACTATAACATCTACTATACATTTCATGTGTAATACACGCTTATATATATATATATATATATATATATATATATATATATATATATATATATATATATATATATATATAATAGAAAAAAAAAATTACTAAAACATTTAACTATAAATATATCAAATATGTTCAGAATAATTAAAAATAATTTAGTTGAACTCTTTAAGAAAGGCTAACATCTAGGATTCTATTTAAAGCATTCCTGAAATGATAAGTTGTACTGAAGTTTGCGAGCAGACCCACCTCAATCTCTTCAACTCCAGCAATCTTGGCGGTATACTCGGCTGCTTTCATGTTGTTTTGAGCTCGCTTGTGACAAAAGTAGGTCACAATTATGGCCATAATAACTAAGATGATGGTCAACGGAACGGTCACTCCGAGGATGACGCTCAGTTTATGCTTCTCTTCTCTGAAACAACAAACAAATGACACAATTGTCAGCTGGGAACGTACTGGGACATTAAGGTTGCACAACCTAGAAGATGCCATGAAGGGAACTGGTGTTTCAAAAATTTTCATGGAAAAATATAATAGGCAAAAAGAGACAGGGAAAATTGTGGTCAAATTCATAGAAACAATTTTAGAACAGGATAAATAAAAAACAATGGGTAAATAACTGTATGATGAATAAATTGTTAATAAATAAATATTATACACATAAAGAAATACTGTATGAGTAATGAAATACTGTGATAGGCGCACTGGATATATAGGGCTGGACCTATATTTTATAGATCAAATGACACTTGGTGGGTGATGTGGTCAGCATCAAGCGGGCCACCTTCACTTCCCAGGACTGCACCTCCTACACACTAGGGTCGACCTGAAAGCCAAGGTGTTTAAAAAAAAAGTCAGGCTCCTGTCAGAACCCGAACCCTAGCCACTAGACCACCAGGGCTCTGATAAATGATCTAAACACTGTTTCATTTATTCAACAATGTATAATAACTAAACACTGCATGAATACTAACAATATACACTGTATGGAAAACTTCAAATGAATGAACAACTAAACACTGCATGAATAACTAAACACCGTATGAAAAACTAAACACTGTATGGATAACTAAATTCTGTGTGAATAACTTAAGACTAGGAATAACTACACACTGTATGAATAACTAAACACTGTTTGAATAACAAACACCATATAAATAACTAAACACTGCATGAAAAACTAAACACTGCAGGAATACCAGCTATACACTGTATAAACAATTAAAAAGGCATGAATTATCTAAACACTGTATGTGAAATTTAAAATGTATGAACAACCTAAACACTGAACGAAAAATTTAACTGTATAATTACCCAAACTCTGTATAAATAACTAAACTTTATATGAATAACTGAACTCATTATGAATAACTAAACACTGTCAGAATAAATAAACACTGTATGAGCAAACTCTGTTTGAATAATCATTGTACGAATACCCAAACATTGTATAAATACCTAAACATTGTATGGATTCCTAAACATTGTATGAATAACCAAACATTGTATGAATACCCAAACATTGTATGAATACCCAAACATTGCATGAATACCTAAACATTGCATGAATACCTAAACATTGTATGAATACCCAAACATTGTATGAATACCCAAACATTGTATAAATACCCAAACATTGTATGAACACCCAAACACTGTATGAATACCCAAACATTGTATGAATACCTAAACATTGTATAAATACCCAAACATTGTATGAATACCTAAACATTGTATGAATACACAAACATTGTATGAATACCTAAACATTGTTTGAATACCCAAACATTGTATGAATACCTAAACATTTTATGAATACCTAAACATTGTATGAATACCCAAACATTGTATGAATACCCAAACATTGTATAAATACCCAAACATTGTATTAATACCCAAACACTGTTTGAATACCCAAAAATTGTTTGAATACCTAAACATTGTAACATTGTATGAATACCCAAACATTGTACGAATACCCAAGCATTGTCTGAACACCTAAACATTGTATGAATACTTAAACACTGTATGAATACCTACACATTGTATGAATACTCAAACTTTGTATGAATAACTAAACATTGTATGAATACCCAAAGATTGTATGAATACCCAAACATTGTATGAATACCCAAACATTGTATAAATACCCAAACATTGTATGAACACCCAAACACCGTATGAATACCCAAACATTGTATGAATACCTAAACATTGTATAAATACCCAAACATTGTATGAATACCTAAACATTGTATGAATACACAAACATTGTATGAATACCTAAACATTGTTTGAATACCCAAACATTGTATGAATACCTAAACATTTTATGAATACCTAAACATTGTATGAATACCCAAACATTGTATGAATACCCAAACATTGTATAAATACCCAAACATTGTATTAATACCCAAACACTGTTTGAATACCCAAACATTGTTTGAATACCTAAACATTGTATGAATACCCAAACATTGTACAAATACCCAAGCATTGTCTGAACACCTAAACATTGTATGAATACTTAAACACTGTATGAATACCTACACATTGTATGAATACTCAAACTTTGTATGAATACCTAAACATTGTATGAATACCCAAACATTGTATGAATACCCAAACATTGTATGAATACCCAAACATTGTATGAATACCCAAACATTGTATGAATACCTAAACATTGTATGAATACCTAAACATTGTATAAATACCCAAACATTGTATGAATACCCAAACATTGTATGAATACCTAAACATTGTATAAATACCCAAACATTGTATGAATACCCAAACATTGTATGAATACCTAAACATTTTATGATTACCTTAACACATCATAATGAATAAACACTTACTCAGCATTCCTTAACTGAGAAGCACTAACATCCGGGTGTGTGGCATCAGCACAAACCACTCGATTCTCATCCGTCTCCATCTCTTTAACCAAAAATGGCAGGTCAGCAGGACACTCAGGCGTACAGTTAAACTGAAGACAAAAAAGTTGTTTCATGAGTTAAAAATCTGGCTATGATGGGATGTGGTTCCATTACAGTCTTTAGGAATGTTACACATATAAAGTTACACATATAAAGTTACACATTTCAAGTTCCAGTCTATCTCCTGGTGTAGCTCTTGTAACACTGTCTGACAGAAATTTATTTTATTTAATCGATCACCGGCTGTGAATTCCAGTGGAAGGTCCCGGTTAATCGTCCGCTTGGACTTTTGGCTTTCACCTGGACCTGATTTTTGCGTGTACAACCGTTTTTCATTTCCCTGCCTCATGGGCAGCTGTACTCCGACTTCGAAGGAGGACGTCAGGCCTATTTCTAGGGTGACTGTGGCCATTGTTTTGTGTGGGTCGAGACGTTGCCTGATTTGTGTGGTGTCCACTTTGGCTCCTTCGCCGCAGGTATTACCCCCGGAGTACCCCTTTGGGGCAGCCCCTTGTGGAACAGTTAGCCCTCAAGGGAAGGCAGGGGCAGATCATGGGCATTCCCCGCCATCCAAGGAGGCTTCCATGCATGCAGAGCCGGCACATGGCGCTCTGGTTCTGGGCTCACCCAAGGAATCGTCACGTCCTGCACATGCCTGCTTAACTTCACAACCGTATCAGGCCTCCCGCTCGACAGGGGCTGCGCCCTCTGGAAGTCAGCGGGGAGCAGCCCGTGGGTTTTGGACTTTTGTGACCACACAGATAGGTACATTCTTTTTTCTTCGCACGTTAGATTTCTTTGACGAGCCGTTAGCCTGACAGAATTTTACATCCTGCATCAGGCATATCGTTATCAGTTTTGTCCCAACACTCGGGCGAGTGGGGTCTTTGGGTGTGGACATTCGGTCTTTTTCAGTTCAATACAAATTTTGATGGTCAGATTTTGATCCGTATGATCTAGTTTTGTCGGACATTTAGGCTTAGCCATCCGATGGATGGTTGCTGTTGTGGTGTACCTCAGTGCGGTGACGACGACACTGAGGGTTAACCGAGGATGTACATGAATGGCCAGCCTATGGATGGTTGCTGTTGTGGTGTACCTCAGCGCGGTGACGACGACACTGAGGGTTAACCGAGGATGTACAAGGATGGCCAGCCTATGGATGGTTGCTGTTGTGGTGTACCTCAGCGCGGTGACGACGACACTGAGGGTTAACAGAGGATGCGCAGTGAACAATGTTCTCTTTACTCCGCAGTCTTTTAACCAAGGGTTGTAATTTTGGCTGTACGTTTGGCAAACCTACTCATGTTCCTAATGAGTTTTGATAACATTTTCACCCAAGCGTTTGGGGGGCGGGCTGATGGGAGCCACAAGGACACATCACCTCTGGGGGCCGCCGAACTCCGAGATCCCCTGACAGCTCTGTTAATGCTCATTTGAGACATTATCCGTGGCGCACGACGAGGACGTGCTGTAGGGGTCTTGCGTGAGGTTCCGTACAACCAGGATAGTATCTCCTTATACACATCATGTTGGACTTAACTTCCCCTCACGCCTGTGACATAAATCACCGCGCCACTCTGACAGAAATGAGAGTAATCTTGTCTTAAACCAACTTCCGTGCAAATGGAATCAGAATTGTGAAATGTCTTCACTAACCTCTGAGTCAACATAAACTATTCGACAGGAAATAAATGGGTATAACTTCCTATCCACTGTCAAAATGAAAGCAGGAGACTAAGACGATAATCACATTTGTCTGAAAAACAGAATTACAGAACTAAAAAATAGGATTACAGAACTAAAAAAACAGGTTTAGAAAACTGAAAAACAGAATTACAGAACTGAAAAACAAGATTACAGAAATCAAAAAAAAAAAAGGATTACAAAACTGAAAATCATTATCAAAGAAATTGTAAGATAACAGAAGTGAGAAAACATAATTAAGCAACTGAAAAAAAAAAAAAACCATGATTACAGTACAAGAGAAAAAATAAGATAAAAAAAAAAGAATACAGAAAAAAAAAAACCACATCTGAGAACTGGAAAAAAAAAAAAAGGCGCAACAATTATTCAAAATAACAATAGACATATTATAATCCATAAGGGTTGAACAGGATATCGCTAGCTTCATGCAATTAGTGTTGTGCTACTTTCATTTGTAATTTATAGCTAAGTTTGAGAGAATTGGCTTCATTGCCGCATGTCTGATCCCACTTGGCTTGATCAACTCCCCTCCGCCTTCCCCCCACACAATAGCCAGCTTTATGCTCAAAATACAGATTCTACAGCTACAGGGATGATCCCAGTGTTCTCCATAAAATCTACAGTTGTGAACTGAATGACAACTCCATGAACTGAATGACAACTCCATGAACTGAATGGCATATCCATGAACTGAATGACATATCCATGAACTGAATGGCATATCCATGAACTGAATGGCATATCCATGAACTGAATGACATATCCATGAACTGAATGACATATCCATGAACTGAATGACAACTCCATGAACTGAATGACAACTCCATGAACTGAATGGCATATCCATGAACTGAATGGCATATCCATGAACTGAATGGCATATCCATGAACTGAATGGCATATCCATGAACTGAATGACATATCCATGAACTGAATGACATATCCATGAACTGAATGACATTTTCAAGAACTAAATGACATATTCATGAACTGAATGACATATCCATAATCTGAATGCTATATCCATAAATTGAATGACATATCCATGAATTGAACGCTATATCCACAAAGTGAATGACATCCATAAATTGAATGCTATATCCACAAAGTGAATGACATATCCATGAACTGAATGCTATATTCATGAACTGAATTACATATCCATGAACTGAATGCTACATCCATGAACTGAACTGTTATACCATAGAGACTCCAGTATACGATATGTAAATGAAGTAAGTTGTGTATGCAATTATTACATGAAAAAGGTTACTTACAGTTTTATTCTCCATGTCTGTGTAGATCTTAAAATTTGCACAAGCCATACAATCAGCAGATGTTGGGCCAAAACATCCAGATCGACACTGAGGGTCACATTTCTCACACAGTCGGGTCACATGATCTCCGTATTTGAAGTTTGGACATTCTTTCACACAGTACTTTCCATCTTTGAAGTGCTTGCACTCAGTGCAAAATTGTGTTGTTGGTCCTGTACATGTGATGCAGTACTCATGACATCTTTCACACACCTAAGAGAAAAACAAACACAGGAAAAAGGAAATGACATTTGATCCTAACTTTTTTCAGTCGCAAACAATGGAGCAAGTTTAATGGAATCTTCTCGATAAATCCCATCCATTGCACAATGTATTTTCTCAAGTTTTACATTTGGTCAGAGTTTACTAAAGAAATCTGGCTTCTTCAGTGACAATTTTCATAAGTGTATAACTTCTCTGAAAGGTAATGTGGGCCGGGCCTCATTAAGACCTGAGCAGAAAATATGTAATATCATCGTAAAACAGTATTTGTTTTTTAAACTATCCAATTTATGTGCAAAGTGAACCAGGTCTCTGGTGATTATAAGGTGGACCACAAACATTTGTAACCCCTTTAAATATGATGATGATTTGTACAGCTACTTGCTGTGCTCTCTACTAGTGAAAATCATAAATTTTTCATAAGAATCATATATATATATATATATATATATATATATATATATATATATATATATATATATATATATATATAGTAGTTAGACATGTACAAACACCCATTAAAGAGGCTAATTCTTAATCAGTAAATTGCAATTCAGAAAGAACATCTGGAGCAGAGTGCTTATACTGTTACAATTTAGATTGACAAGAACATACCGGGAATGATCTTGAAAATTTACTTCGAGGGCTTAGGCTATTGTGGTAGCCATCTTGACAGATGGCATCGACCGGTAAGCATTCTATTATGCCATCAGAGCTCTCCCGAATTCCAATATCACAAATTTTGCACCCATTAGGTCCAACAATTTTTTCTGGTCCTGTGCAGCTAGAAGTCAAATAAACAGAAAAAAAAACACTTTCTAAATGAATAAAATATCTGCAAGTTATTAAACAGCATTAAAATAACAATTGCTCAATGATCAAGTGTTACATATGTTTGCTCAATATTCAATCCTTGAAGGCCGAGATGGCGAAGACACACTTGATGGACAGAGGAATCCCAAAAGAAATCTTCTTGAACAGAGATGGTAAAAGATATCTGAGTCTGTCTTGTCTAAGATGTAAAGGTGTGAGCAAGTAGGATGTTAATAATGTAAAACATACTTTAAAAAAAAAGATCTGACCAACTAAATCTTCTCTTTATTATCCAACGCTTGTGGCATGCCATTATTGTTTCTAAGAGATTCTGTGATGGAAAAATCCATATTTGTGGCAAAAGCTTCTGATTACTAAAACATATAAAGGAAAATAATTTATACATACCCATTTTGGCCACAGTTTGGATGACAAGGCTGGCAAATTCTGTTGTGGTCAGGATACATGCTCTCGCCACAGCTTTCCTCGCAGATGTCCACGCCCAGCTTGTTTCTCATGGCAACGTGGGCACACTTGTCACAGTCAGTGTTTTTCTGTGGAGACAGCCACATGCTCTTACAAGACAGCCACACGCTCTTACATGACAGAAACATACTCTTACAAGACAGCCACATACTCTTACATGACAGCCACATACTCTTACAAGACAGCCACACGCTCTTACATGACAGCCACATACTCTTACAAGACAGCCACATACTCCTACAAGACAGCCACATACTCTTACAAAACAGCCACATACTCATACAAGACAGCCACATGCCTTTACAAGACAGCCACATACTCTTATAAGACAGCCACATACTCATACAAGACAGCCACATACTCTTACAAGACAGCCACATACTCATACAAGACAGCCACATACTCTTACAAGACAGCCACATACTCTTACAAGACAGCCACATACTCTTACAAGACAGCCACATACTCTTACAAGACAGCCACATACTCTTACAAGACAGCCACATACTCTTACAAGACAGCCACTTACAAATAGCCACATACTCATACAAGACAGCCACATACTCATACAAGACAGCCACATACTCTTACAAGACAGCCACACTCATACAAGACAGCCACATACTCTTACAAGACAGCCACATACTCTTACAAGACAGCCACATACTCATACAAGACAGCCACATACTCATACAAGACAGCCACATACTCTTACAAGACAGCCACATACTCATACAAGACTGCCACATACTCTTACAAGACAGCCATATACTCTTACAAGACAGCCACATACTCATACAAGACAGCCACATACTCATACAAGACAGCCACATACTCTTACAAGACAGCCACATACTCATACAAGACAGTCACATACTCTTACAAGACAGCCACATACTCATACAAGACAGCCACATACTCTTACAAGACAGCCACATACTCATACAAGACGGCCACATACTCATACAAGATGGCCACATACTCATACAAAACAGCCACATACTCATACAAAACGGCCACATACTCATACAAGACGGCCACATACTCTTACAAGACAGCCACATACTCTTACAAGACAGCCACATACTCTTACAAGACAGCCACATACTCTAACAAGACGGCCACATACTCTTACATGACAGCCACATGCTCTTACAAGACAGCCACATACTCATACAAGACAGCCACATACTCTTACAAGACAGCCACATACTCTTACAAGACAGCCACATACTCTTACAAGACAGCCACATACTCTTACAAGACAGCCACATACTCTTACAAGACAGCCACATACTCTTACAAGACAGCCACATGCCCTTACAAAATAGCCACATACTCTTACAAGACAGCCACATACTCATACAAGACAGCCACATACTCTTACAAGACAGCCACACTCATACAAGACAGCCACATACTCTTACAAGACAGCCACATACTCTTACAAGACAGCTACATACTCATACAAGACAGCTACATACTCTTACAAGACAGCCATATACTCTTACAAGACAGCCATATACTCATACAAGACAGCCACATACTCTTACAAGACAGCCACATACTCTTACAAGACAGCCATATACTCTTACAAGACAGCTATATACTCATACAAGACAGCCACATACTCTTACAAGACAGCCACATACTCTTACAAGACAGCTATATACTCTTACAAGACAGCCACATACTCTTACAAGACAGCCACATACTCTTACAAGACAGCCACATACTCTTACAAGACAGCCACATGCCCTTACAAGACAGCTATATACTCTTACAAGACAGCCACATACTCTTACAAGACAGCCACATACTCTTACAAGACAGCCACATGCCCTTACAAAATAGCCACATACTCATACAAGACAGCCACATACTCTTACAAGACAGCTATATACTCTTACAAGACAGCCATATACTCTTACAAGACAGCCACATACTCTTACAAGACAGCTATATACTCTTACAAGACAGCCACATACTCATACAAGACAGCCACATACTCTTACAAGACAGCCACATACTCTTACAAGACAGCCACATACTCTTACAAGACAGCCACATACTCTTACAAGACAGCCACATACTCTTACAAGACAGCCACATACTCTTACAAGACAGCCACATACTCTTACAAGACAGCTACATACTCTTACAAGACAGCCATATACTCTTACAAGACAGCCATATACTCTTACAAGACAGCTATATACTCTTACAAGACAGCCATATACTCTTACAAGACAGCCATATACTCTTACAAGACAGCCATATACTCTTACAAGACAGCCACATACTCTTACAAGACAGCCATATACTCTTACAAGACAGCCATATACTCTTACAAGAAGCCACATACTCTTACAAGACAGCCATATACTCATACAAGACAGCCACATACTCTTACAAGACAGCCATATACTCATACAAGACAGCCACATACTCTTACAAGACAGCCACATACTCATACAAGACAGCTACATACTCATACAAGACAGCCATATACTCATACAAGACAGCCACATACTCTTACAAGACAGCCACATACTCATACAAGACAGCCACATACTCATACAAGACAGCCACATACTCATACAAGACAGCCACATACTCATACAAGACAGCCACAGAAAGCTCTGAGGCCCCTACTGTTTTAAATGATGCCAGCTTATCTCTAAAGACTTCGAATAGATATGCCGTTTAAATATTTGGATGATGCAAATATGTTGTCCTTTAATTGTTTGTCCTTTAATTATATACGAGACAAAGAAGACTGCAATAAACTGGGCACATCATGAGGAGAAAGGGAAAGAGAATCACCAGACACTGAAATGGGAAGCAAATGTACTGAGGATACAAGGACATCGAAGAGAGAACCTGAGGAACGTTTCTGAGAGATGCCAAAGGCACTTGGATTCTCCGTGATAGCAAGAGTATTGAACAGGATGTAGTGGAATGGAAGCTCAGACAAGCATTACATGACGCATTACAGCATTAACATGATGATAATGATGAAATATATTTCCCATTGTAAAAAAAAATTAAATGTGGATTAAAATATATTTCAGAACTTCTTAAACTGTAGCAAATAAAACTCTAAATTTCTATGAATTTATTTTGCCAGGTAACTTTAGAAATATAAAAAATATATATATATAAACATTGACATGCTCAATAACAAAGAAACAAAATGACATGATTTCTCACCGTCCCATTACAAGTGTTGGCACACTCTTTATGACACAGCATACATTTGCCTTCTCCTTCGTGGTACAGTCTAGCTATGTCTGTGCATTTATTCAGGCACAGTAACTCGTCTTCGTAAACATAGTTAGCACATTTCAAACATTTGTTTGGGCCTTTCCCCCAGCAGCCGAAGGTTCCACACTGAGTGTCACAGACTTCTCCGTCCTTTGCTGTTCAGGAGATAAATAAGAAAAAAAAAATTACTTTTTATCAATTTTACATGAAAAGCTAAAGATTATTCTATGCTAACTATGGATTTTGTTGGAGCTGAAATATGTAATCATCTCTGTTGACAATAAATTACGAAAACATCTCTGTTGACAATAAATTACGTAAACATCTCTGTTGACAATGAAATACTTAAACATCTCTGTTAACAATGAAATACCTAAAAATCGCTGTTGACAATGAAATATGTAAAACCTGTGGAATATAGCTCTCCAAAGAGGCCAAGTTCCAGTAATGGTCTCTGAGCTTGGAGAGACAAAGTCTCAAAATGGCTTGTATGAAATTACAGATACTGGTCAGAAAAAGTCCTCTGAAAGTACTGCAGAGTTTTGGGAAATGCCATTCTGGTCTCAAGACTCAGTGAAGGGAAAACCCCAACTGTACCTCCACGCGGTAGATGATGGTAAACACACTGAGGTGTGGCCAACACAGCTATGGGGACTGAGTATCCGCCGGGATAAGTGGACACCTCTGAGGTGCCCTCTGCTGTTAGCAGGAGAATCACAGAGCAGGGCACTCACTTGCCATAGCAATCGAAAAGGTTGCTGAAGGCTGAGGACATAGTCTAAAGCCATGTGGATGTGGAAAGCAACGGGAAACTACCACATTACTATCCCAAAAAACTCATTGTGGAAGCCAAAAATGAAACTCAAAGATCTCATGGTGAGGCCCCCAGGCCAGGCAGATAACAAATGGGAACTGGGGAAGAGAACAATGGCAGAGCAGGATGTGAGTCCTGGACTATCTCTCAGTCCTTAAGAAAGAGAATAGGGGCTTTTAAGCTGAAATGCTATAGAAAGATTCTCAGAATATCTTGGACAAAGAAGATGAGAAATATTGACATCTTAAAAGATCTGAATATCAAGGAAGATTGGCTAATAAACAGCATCCTTTCTTGAAAACTGAAATATTTTGGTCATATCAAGCGCCACCAAGGATTGGAAAAAATTATAGCAGAAGGCATGGTACCAGGAAGGAGGGGCAGGGGCCGACCGACACGAAGATGGACACAGGATATAAGTGACTCCTTGAGTGTGAAAGTACATGAGGCAGGAAAACTGGCGAGAGACTGAGTTTCTTTCAGGCAGACTGTGATGAGAGCGACTTTCTGCAAAGGACCTGCTACATGATGATGATGGTCAGAAAAAATAATTTAAAAAAAAGAAATAAGAGTTGTAGAAGGAAGAAAAAAGAAGATGCCTAGTCAGTTGAAGATTTTTCACACACATAAATGCTCACCACATTGGCCCGGTGTCCGATTGCCACGAATTTTCACTTGCTGATCTTTATGGGTCAGAACTGTTGTCCAGTTAATTGTGTCTGCATAACACAGTTGGGAGTTGAGAGCAATGAACACATTCCCATTACGAATGTGTTTCAGTGAGATGAGATCCAGCGATCTCAGTGGAGTTTGAAAGATGTTCAAAGAATTCATCATACTGTCTCTGAAAAATGAACACACAATCAAAGATTATTCTTGTGTCCTAGGCTGGATGTTGATAGCATCCCTTATCTGACACCAACAAAACTATGAAATAGTTTAGCTCAGTAGGCTAGTAGATCTCCAGAACTGCATGCTGAAAAACACTACTGCTTAAATCCCTTCTTCAGTAGATTCTTCATCAGATTGCTCTAATTCTGTTTTGGTTTGATATTTCTTTTTGCACTCTGGTCTGGTTAAATCAAAATTGATCTGAAGATCTTGGTGCTGGTCAAGGTGGCAGATAGGTTCCATATTTATATTTACTCTTTGTCATTTAAAGTGATTCAATAAATTTCCCCAAAATTTAGCAATTACAACATAATTTCTAATGCTGAGATTAATGAAAGTATATATCATGTATTCTATTCCTATATTTGTACATGTAACCTCTGGGATAGCTGTGTCTTTACAAACACAATGTCTGTTATAAGTCAAATATGAAGGTAAATGCACCCATAGAAGAGTTCTGCAATAATTCAATCCACTGTCTGCATATAGAGCCTGCCTCGACTCTCCAGATTATGCTCAAAGAATTATGCAGCACACACATGCGGGAACAGTTCTGTGATTCCAGCCACAAGAAAGCGCGTGTCACCGCCATCATTCCATCATCATACTACTGGTGGTCATGGAGAAGGCACCTCTGGCTTCTTGAACTTTTTCTGCCTGAAAAGCGAGCTGTAAATGCCCATGCACTCTTTATGTCCTCATTTAATGAAGACGTCTGTTTAGCTGAGCACATCTGTCTCATATGACTTGTCAGTGATAAGTGCACAGACCTGGCATTGACAGCAATGGGATTCTGCCTGAAAAGCGAGCTGTAAATGCCCATGCACTCTTATGTCCTCATTTAATGAAGACGTCTGTTTAGCTGAGCACATCTGTCTCATATGACTTGTCAGTGATAAGTGCACAGACCTGGCATTGACAGCAATGGGATTCTACTCCCAACAAATCCTATCAGGTGTGATGACAAAGGAGAAGGTGAGATTGAACACTTCAGAGACTGGTATCCATATCTCACCAGGATGGATGCCTGTACTGGTATCCATATCTCACCAGGATGGATGCCTGTAAGACTGCAGATCTGCTTGATGTCATCATCTAACCTACCCAGCCATGATTTGCCCCTTTTTATTTTGTTGCCCTTTTTCCTGTGGTGTAAAGGATGCTTCAGATCGGAACTTATCTTGAGATTTGCGCAAGCCCTCTAAATCCTGATTCTGTAGCTAATGGTATGGAAGTCAAATAAGGTATCTCATTGCTACACAAGAAGTGTTATGCGCTTCTTGGGTCTTGGCAATTGATCTGTTCATCTTTTTTTGCAAATTGTAGCCACATCATTTATCCATATCTTGTTTGGTCTTCCTCTCACCTTTTGTGCAGATATTCTGCAGAGTTAAAAAAAAAATTATATATGCAGTTAAGTCTGGCTGCATTCTCAGTAGATGCTCAAACCATTTCACTCTTTGTCTGGCAATATTATTCAGACACTTTTTTATTCCAAGTTTCTCTTTAATGCTGGTATTCATAACCCTGTCCCTTTGTGTATTGTTTGGGACTTTGTAGAGACTGCACATTTAACATGTAGTTATTTTCTGTTCTAGTGCCCTATTGGCTGTCCATGATTGGCACTGATAGCATAAAGTAGGGATGACGATGGTTTTAATCATTAGCAAGAAGGGAGACATGTGGGTGTATAAGCATTGGAGGTAGCTGATAGGTGACGGAGACATGTGGGTGTATAAGCTGATAGGTGACGGAGACATGTGGGTGTATAAGCATTGGAGGTAACTGATAGGTGACGGAGACATGTGGTTGTATAAGCATTGGAGGTAGCTGATAATTGACGGAGACATGTGGTTGTATAAACATTGGAGGTAGCTGATAGGTGACGCAGACATGTGGGTGTATAAGCTGATAGATGACGGAGACATGTGGGTGTATAAGCATTGGAGGTAGCTGATAATTGACGGAGACATGTGGTTGTATAAGCATTGGAGGTAGCTGATAGGTGACGCAGACATGTGGGTGTATAAACATTGGAGGTAGCTGATAGGTGACGCAGACATGTGGGTGTATAAGCTGATAGGTGACGGAGACATGTGGGTGTATAAGCATTGGAGGTAGCTGATAATTGACGGAGACATGTGGTTGTATAAGCATTGGAGGTAGCTGATAATTGACGGAGACATGTGGTTGTATAAACATTGGAGGTAGCTGATAGGTGACGCAGACATGTGGGTGTATAAGCTGATAGATGACGGAGACATGTGGGTGTATAAGCATTGGAGGTAGCTGATAGGTGACGCAGACATGTGGGTGTATAAACATTGGAGGTAGCTGATAGGTGACGGAGACATGTGGGTGTATAAGCTGATAGGTGACGGAGACATGTGGTTGTATAAGCATTGGAGGTAGCTGATAATTGACGGAGACATGTGGTTGTAAAAACATTGGAGGTAGCTGATAGGTGACGGAGACATGTGGGTGTATAAGCATTGAAGGTAGCTGATGATGGGACTGAGCCTCGAGAGGCAGGGGGTAAGAAGTGTTGGTGTTGTGGGTAGTGGGTTCCCCCCCTTACTTCACCCTAGGTCTAGTGAATATCTGTTCACGAAAGGAGCGTCCATTGTGGTGTCAGCCTCTTGACCTAGCAAAACCTCTCTTACCTCAAGACCATGGTGCGTGGCGAAGAGTCACAGCCTCCCCGAGGTAGTCCCGGTAACTGGGGATGCGAATCCCCAGGCAAAACACAATGGATCTAGAGGAGCAAACCTCGATAATAAACCCGGTGCACCACACCGTACTGCCCCCTGTGGGAGGGAAGGAACCAGAGGTGTGCTGAACAGTCTTAGGAATGGAAACAAGTATGCTAACCCCCCTGAATACCGGAAACTATCGTGAAGGCACAGGGACTCAGGACGTGACGATCCAGTTGCCCCAACTACTCATGCTTAGGCCATGCTTAGAGACATGAAGAGCTCAGCGAAACCTGCAGGCAATCTGGTGGCGGGGAATGAGAACACTGTGAGCCCCACCTTAGCTACGTGTTAAAGGGAAAGGCAGAAACACAACCCATATTTCCTTTAGAACTGGTACAGGGCATTTCTAGCTGCTGCCCGGGGAGGTAGGTAATCCACAGACACCCCAGCACCACAATGCCGTGAATATGAAGGTAGCTGATAGGTGACGGAGACATGTGGGTGTATAAGCATTGGAGGTAGCTGATAGGTGACGCAGACATGTGGGTGTATAAGCATTGGAGGTAGCTGATAGGTGACGCAGACATGTGGGTGTATAAGCATTGGAGGTAGCTGATAGGTGACGGAGACATGTGGGTGTATAAGCATTGGAGGTAGCTGATAGGTGACGGAGACATGTGGGTGTATAAGCATTGGAGGTAGCTGATAGGTGACGGAGACATGTGGGTGTATAAACATTGGAGGTAGCTGATAGGTGACGGAGACATGTGGGTGTATAAGCATTGGAGGTAGCTGATAGGTGACGGAGACATGTGGGTGTATAAGCATTGGAGGTAGCTGATACGTGACGGAGACATGTGGGTGTATAAACATTGGAGGTAGCTGATAGGGGACGGAGACATGTGGGTGTATAAACATTGGAGGTAGCTGATAGGTGACGGAGACATGTGGGTGTATAAGCATTGGAGGTAGCTGATAGGTGACGGAGACATGTGGGTGTATAAACATTGGAGGTAGCTGATAGGGGACGGAGACATGTGGGTGTATAAACATTGGAGGTAGCTGATAATTGACGGAGACATGTGGGTGTATAAACATTGGAGGTAGCTGATAGGTGACGGAGACATGTGGGTGTATAAGCTGATAGGTGATGGAGACATGTGGGTGTATAAACATTGGAGGTAGCTGATAATTGACGGAGACATGTGGGTGTATAAGCTGATAGGGGACGGAGACATGTGGGTGTATAAACATTGGAGGTAGCTGATAATTGACGGAGACATGTGGGTGTATAAACATTGGAGGTAGCTGATAGCTGACGGAGACATGTGGTTGTATAAACATTGGAGGTAGCTGATAGCTGACGGAGACATGTGGTTGTATAAACATTGGAGGTAGCTGATAGGTGACGCAGACATGTGGTTGTATAAACATTGGAGGTAGCTGATAGGTGACAGCGTGTGCTTTTTTGTATTCCAGCTAATATCTCTCTGTCGAGTCTGCCATCTTCTGTAAACATTCCATCTCTGGAAAACAAAAAATGTTTGATTGAAATCAAATTATCAGACGACATGAATACTAAGAAACTATTGTGGTACCACAGTTCTCATTTTTTTTTAAACTGGAAGTATTTAAACAAAAACAAAGAAAAAAAGCATTAATGAATGAACATACGCGGTAGTACGGCCGTGAATCACTTCTAGGCTGGACAGGAAGCTTAAGTCTGTGAACTCTGAGTGGTTCGACTGAATCAGCAAGTATCCAGTGATCTCCTTCACATTCTTCAGCACTGTCAGGTTGTGTGGGTGCAAGGGTTCAATGTCGTAATGCTCATCCCTAACAAAAAAAAATATTAATTCAGCATGTGAACTGACCACGAAGAAAACCTATTAAGATTCACATGTACTAACAAAAAATTTATTTACCTGATAATTTCTAGAATAAGCCAACAATATACAAAGTCACTTAATAATTTTTACTCAAAACAAGGCTTATAAAATAACATGTCACATAACAAATAATTAAATATTTGGTTGTTACTAATATGTTGCAGATATCACTACTGTACAATGATGTGTTAAATCTTCTTATATCCACACCACACCACACCACATCACATCACACCACACCACATCACATCACATCACACCACACCACATCACATCACACCACATCACATCACACCACACCACACCACATCACACCACACCACACCACATCACACCACATCACATCACACCACATCACATCACATCACATCACACCACATCACATCACACCACATCACACCACACCACATCACATCACACCACATCACACCACATCACATCACATCACATCACATCACACACATCACATCACATCACATCACATCACACCACATCACATCACATCACATCACACCACATCACATCACATCACATCACATCACACCACATCACATCACACCACATCACACCACACCACACCACATCACACCACATCACATCACATCACATCACATCACACCACATCACATCACACCACATCACATCACATCACATCACATCACATCACATCACACCACATCACAGTGAGTTGAGAGCTACGCATTCCTTTACTCACAATCTCTTGGAAATATTTATTTAAAAAAAAATAAACCTGTCTGCTCTAAACCAGGTATCTAGAGAATAAATTCCCCCCTTCATAAAGTGAAAACATCAAATGAACAAGACACATTTACCAGCAAATACTCTATACCAGTATATTTAAATGGTCACTGTTACAAACAGAACCCGTAGGTCAGCAACAAGAACCATTAAAAATTCAAAAATTTAACATATGTAACAAAACAACAAAATACAAAGAGACTTATCCATACGTGCAACAAAATTTATAAACAAAACAGAATAAGCAATTAGGTCATTTAAAAAAACATAAGTTATATGGATTATACAAAATAACATAATACATTTTATCAAATATAATTAAAAGTTAAATTTAAAAAAAATTACGGAATGTTTACAATAATTTTAACAAACACCATTTTATCAATTAAAATTAATCAAAAACAACAACACCAAAGTATGTAAGATAACACAACAAACTTAGCATGAAATGTGCATTTCATTGTCACTCAAACTCTCACTAGTTGAACAGACTGGCAGGTTGACTGGGCAGTGTTAGGATTGTGTCAGAGCATAGATGAATGCTGCTGGATTTGCTTCACTCATGCGGTTTTGGTCTCGTTCTTAATTAAATCAGTCTCCGTATTTAATTGTTAAACAGTGTATACAGAGTTATGCTGGCAAATTAAGCAAGTCATGTTGATGTTATTTTTATAAATTAAACAGACCAATCCGTCACAGACATAGTAAAACTCAACTTGCAACAACAACAGCAAACCTACAACATTAACAGGGATCAGGGTTGGCACCATGGCTAGATGCCTGACTGCTGCTTGAAGGTATTACGTTTGAATCTCCACTTATAAAAATAAATAAATGACCTTGACTCCCAACTGGACCCAGCCTCAAAGGAAATGTCATGTGAAGAATAGGTGGTGGGCATGGTGCTGATAACATCCCCCATCTCGAGCTAACTGATGACATCCCCCATCTAGAGCTAACTGATGACATCCCCCATCTAGAGCTTACTGATGACATCCCCCATCTAGAGCTTACTGATGACATCCCCCATCTAGAGCTAACTGATGACATCCCCCATCTAGAGCTAACTGATGACATCCCCCATCTAGAGCTTACTGACATCCCCCATCTAGTGCTGATGACATCCCCCATCTAGAGCTAACTGATGACATCCCCCATCTAGAGCTTACTGACATCCCCCATCTAGAGCTTACTGACATCCCCCATCTAGAGCTTACTGACATCCCCCATCTAGAGCTTACTGATGACATCCCCCATCTAGAGCTTACTGACATCCCCCATCTAGAGCTAACTGATGACATCCCCTATCTAGAGCTTACTGATGATATCCCCCATCTAGAGCTAACTGATGACATCCCCCATCTAGAGCTAACTGATGACATCCCCCATCTAGAGCTTACTGACATCCCCCATCTAGAGCATACTGACATCCCCCATCTACAGCTAACTGGTCTATCCACATTTGAATCTATTCCCCATAAAACGAAACAAAATATTTTATAATATTTATTTAAATAAAGAAAAATTAACAAGAAGTCACAGATGAAAGAATTTATCAAATAACGAAACATGCTCTGTTTTCCATGCCAAGCATTCACAAAATCACAACAGATTCAAGGAAACTTTACCCACCTGAAACATCAGTCAACTACAAACATCAGTCAACTACAAACATCAGTCTACTACAAACATCAATCAACTACAAACATCAATCAACTACAAATAACAGATAATCTAAGACGTGGATGCTGAATCTTAACCATGCAAACTCACAGTCACAATTAAATGCCAGGTTTGTGCACTTATACCATGCAAAATATTCACAGAAAACAAAAACATGCAACCAAAAAATGTACATCACTTGAAACACCAGTTAAATAAGAGAAACCACATGTTACTGATAGCTCACAGACTCTAACAAAGATGGAAAACTGGAGAATCTTATATATGTAGCTTTCTAAATGTTGGGCAGTCTCAACTGTATGGTGGCTAGACACCCGCCTAAAAGTCTTGGGGTCAAATTCACCTTGAGAAAAAAAAAAAAAAATCAACTTTGGTTCCCAGAAGGACCCAGCCTGAAATGGGTACCAGGTTCTGTCCCCTGAAGTAAAAGCAGTTGGCATGAGGTTGACCCCTTGACCTATTGAGTGTCATGTGGTCTAAAAAAATATGGGGAAGGCACCATATATCTGATGCATATAGAATACGACCCTTTAATGTGTGTCTTGTACTAATTAAAAACAAGTATCAGGTGACTCAGTTGTGACCTCTAGCCTCTATCACTAGGGTTTATGGAAAATTTTACATCAACTTGGCATTTTGCCACTGGGGTCATCATACTCCTCCCCACTACACACACACACACACTATTTTTAGTTAATGTGCAGGAGCACAAACAATCCAACTAATTTAACTGCACTTTTTAAGAATAGGGCACTGTTGCCATGGCCATATATCAGCACTGATGGGATTGTGTCACAGTTGGAAGTGACTGACCAGATTTAGCCGTCTCAAGGCAACAGGGCAGGGGTCCCTCAATGTGCGTTTGTGTTTGTTTGTTGAAAACTCATTCAGATGACAATGAATGAAATAAAAACTCAGCAGATGATGGCAACTCTCACCTGAGAAAAGATGTCATTAAAATAATCATGTTGCCGTCGATGGTCGTACACCCTTCGAATGAGCCTATATTGTGCAGGTTGAGGAACTCTGGAGGATCAATGCCTTTACACCCTAGAATTGTAGACATATGCACAGGACAACACAAACATGCACAACAACATGCATAACTAGTACTACAAGTATTCCATAAAGACATGGGGAGCGAGGTCGGGGGGAGGGGGCTATGCCTAAGTAAAATATATAATACTTAAAGTGAATGGTCTCAGTCAGCACAAGGAGTTTTATCTCATACCATTACCTTCGTTTTCATGCCAGCGTGAGAGAAAACCAGATGTGGGTGCACTTGGAGAGCCTCAGCCTTCAGTGGACAGAATGGACAGTGTCACAGCCTTCAGTGGACAGAATGGACAGTGTCACAGCCTTCAGTGGACAGAATGGACAGTGGTAGACAGCCTTCAGTGGACAGAACAGACAGTGTCACAGCCTTCAGTGGACAGAAACTGACAGTGTCACAGCCTTCAGTGGACAGAACAGACAGTGTCACAGCCTTCAGTGACAGACAGAGCCTTCACAGACAGTGTGTCACACAGACAGAACCTTCAGTGGACAGAACAGGACAGTGTCACAGCCTTCAGTGGACAGAACAGACAGTGCCACAGCCTTCAGTGGACAGAACAGACAGTGTCACAGCCTTCAGTGGACAGAACAGACAGTGTCACAGCCTTCAGTGGACAGAACAGACAGTGTCACAGCCTTCAGTGGACAGAACAGACAGTGTCACAGCCTTCAGTGGACAGACAGAACAGGACAGTGTCACAGCCTTCAGTGGACAGAACAGACAGTGTCACAGCCTTCAGTGGACAGAACAGAACAGACAGTCAGTCACAGCAAGACAGTGGACAGCTGTTCAGTGGACAGAACGGACAGTGTCACAGCCTTCAGTGGACAGAATGGACAGTGTCACAGCCTTCAGTGGACAGAATGGACAGTGTCACAGCCTTCAGTGGACAGAACAGACAGTGCCACAGCCTTCAGTGGACAGAACAGACAGTGTCACAGCCTTCAGTGGACAGAACGGACAGTGTCACAGCCTTCAGTGGACAGAACAGACCACAGACAGTGTCACAGCCTTCAGTGGACAGAACAGACAGTGTCACAGCCTTCAGTGGACAGAACAGACAGTGTCACAGCCTTCAGTGGACAGAACAGGACAGTGGTCACAGCCTTCAGTGGACAGAATGGACAGTGTCACAGCCTTCAGTGGACAGTCACAGCCTTCAGTGGACAGAACGGACAGTGCCACAGCCTTCAGTGGACAGAATGGACAGTGTCACAGCCTTCAGTGGACAGAACAGACAGTGTCACAGCCTTCAGTGGACAGAATGGACAGTGTCACAGCCTTCAGTGGATAGAACAGACAGTGCCACAGCCTTCAGTGGACAGAACAGACAGTGTCACAGCCTTCAGTGGACAGAATGGACAGTGTCACAGCCTTCAGTGGACAGAACAGACAGTGCCACAGCCTTCAGTGGACAGAACAGACAGTGTCACAGCCTTCAGTGGACAGAACAGACAGTGTCACAGCCTTCAGTGGACAGAACAGACAGTGTCACAGCCTTCAGTGGACAGAATGGACAGTGTCACAGCCTTCAGTGGACAGAACAGACAGTGTCACATCCTTCAGTGGACAGAATGGACAGTGTCACAGCCTTCAGTGGACAGAACAGACAGTGTCACAGCCTTCAGTGGACAGAATGGACAGTGTCACAGTGTCACATCCTTCAGTGGACAGAACAGACAGTGCCACAGCCTTCAGTGGACAGAACAGACAGTGCCACAGCCTTCAGTGGACAGAACAGACAGTGTCACAGCCTTCAGTGGACAGAACAGACAGTGTCACAGCCTTCAGTGGACAGAACAGACAGTGTCACAGCCTTCAGTGGACAGAACAGACAGTGTCACAGCCTTCAGTGGACAGAACAGACAGTGTCACAGCCTTCAGTGGACAGAATGGACAGTGTCACAGCCTTCAGTGGACAGAATGGACAGTGTCACATCCTTCAGTGGACAGAACAGACAGTGCCACAGCCTTCAGTGGATAGAACAGACAGTGTCACACTCTTCAGTGGACAGAACAGACAGTGCCCCAGCCTTCTAGTGGACAGAACAGACAGTGCCACAGCCTTCAGTGGACAGAATGGACAGTGCCACAGCCTTCAGTGGACAGAATGGACAGTGCCACATCCTTCAGTGGACAGAACAGACAGTGCCCACAGCCTTCAGTGGACAGAATGGACAGTGCCACAGCCTTCAGTGGACAGAACTGACAGTGCCACAGCCTTCAGTGGACAGAACTGACAGTGCCACAGCCTTCAGTGGACAGAATGGACAGTGTCACAGCCTTCAGTGGACAGAATGGACAGTGTCACAGCCTTCAGTGGACAGAAGTGGACAGAACAGACAGTACCACAGCCTTCAGTGGACAGAATGGACAGTGCCACAGCCTTCAGTGGACAGAATGGACAGTGCCACAGCCTTCAGTGGACAGAACAGACAGTGTCACAGCCTTCAGTGGACAGAACAGACAGTGTCACAGCCTTCAGTGGACAGAACAGACAGTGTCCACAGCCTTCAGTGGACAGAACAGACAGTGTCACAGCCTTCAGTGGACAGAACAGACAGTGCCACAGCCTTCAGTGGACAGAATGGACAGTGCCACAGCCTTCAGTGGACAGAACGGAGAGTGCCACAAGAAAACTATGCAAGAGTTCACAGCTACAACATTAACCAATATAGAACAAGAGTCATTCACTCTAAACCCACCAAGAATGATGCTCAGGAGAAGATCAGAACCCTTACAGGTGTGTCTGACCTACAATGAAGGTTATATTGGAAGAACAATGAACAATAAATGAACAATGAACAATAAATGAACAATGAACAATAAATGAACAATGAACTACTAGGCAGACACCACCAGAATACAGAGCACTGCTATTGTGATATGGTCATCTCTGCAGCATAATTGTTTTCCAAATGTACTGATGTTACCTCTCCTATGGAGTAAACAAGGCAGGCGATGAGGGCTTATGCTGCATGAGCAACTGATGGTCTCTGCAATTTTGCCCAAGTGTGGTTTTATGAGTGCAGGTCTTGTTAACCATGCTGCCATCACCTCAGGCAGGGATTCCCATGACAACCTATAGGCTAGTATAAAATTATCGTCTGGACAGATGAAAAGGTGCCAGTCGAGCTATCTGGATGAAAAGGTGCCAGTCAAGCTATCTGGATGAAAAGGTGCCAGTCAAGCTATCTGGATGAAAAGGTGCCAGTTAAGCTATTTGACACAGCCTGAGCTTGATCCAATGAAATATTCTGGGAGGGAAGGTGGCTGATGTGATGTGACCAGTTGAGCGATGGATGTTCTGGGAGGGGAGGTGGCTGATGTGATGTGACCAGTTGAGCGACAGATGTTCTGGGAGGGAAGGTGGCTGATGTGATGTGACCAGTTGAGCGACAGATGTTCTGGGAGGGAAGGTGGCTGATGTGATGTGACCAGTTGAGTGACAGATGTTCTGGGAGGGAAGGTGGCTGATGTGATGTGACCAGTTGAGCGACAGATGTTCTGGGAGGGAAGGTGGCTGATGTGATATTAACCACATGACCAGTTGAGCGACAGATGTTCTGGGAGGGAAGGTGGCTGATGTGATGTGACCAGTTGAGCGACGGATGTTCTGGGAGGGAAGCTCTGACAGGCAGATAGATAGAGCACTGCTCTTCTGATCCAGCAGCTTCTGCAGTGTGCTTTTTTCCCCAAACTTACTGGTGTTACATTTCCTTGGAAGTAAACAAGGCAGGTCAAGGGAGGGATCATGATGCACTAGCAACATATGGTCTCTACAATACTGGCCAGGCTTTGTGCTTTTAGAGGACCGTTTTACCTATCTGGCTTCCAGACATGGAGACTGACAGACATACTGATAGAAAGGGGTGGGGTGGGGGCTGGGGTGAAGATAAAGTGAGAAGATGTTTGGTCACATCCAGAAATGTCAGATGTCAAAGTACCTGCTGCTGGTGATGATGTACACACATGATTCAGAAAAATGTGTGCAGGCTTTAACCCACAAGGGTATTCCAACTATCACCCACTAGGGTAATCCAACTATCACCCACAAGGGTAATCTAACAGTCACACACAAGGGTAATCCAACAGTCACCCACAAGGGTAATCCAACAGTCACCCACAAGGGTAATCCAACAGTCACCCACAAGGGTAATTCAACAGTCACCCACAAGGGTAATCCAACAATCACCCACAAGGGTAATCCAACAATCACCCACAAGGGTAATCCAACAATCACCCACAAGGGTAATCCAACAGTCACCCACAAGGGTAATCCAACAGTCACCCACAAGGGTAATCCAACAGTCACCCACAAGGGTAATCCAACAGTCACATCAGATCACAAGAAAGTCAATTAGTCAACACAACACAAAAGGATACATGCTATCATGCAAATGAAAAATACAAGAAACACCCATTAATGAAAAATGATTTCATTCCACAAATAGAATTCAGTATTTTTGTTTTTTTAGTCAGCCAAAAGAAACTGATGTATATATACTTGTGTGTGTGAGTATCTATATATATATATATATATATATATAAACATTGATCAGTGCACTCGGGCAAACAGCTTAACATTTGACACTGGAAAGTCTTTATAAAGTGTATGTGGCTGGTATGAAACTGAAGAAGAAAAAGGAGGAAGTTGGGGAGAAGAAGGAGAAGGAAGAAGGAGAAGAAGAACACCTGTAAGAGGCAAAGAAGGTGAAGAAGAAGCAGAGGTGGAAGAAAAGACGGTAAATCAAATTTGCATCAGGATCACTGAAGCATGTCAAAGATGTTGGTATCATTTGGTTATAATGAGCTGAAATCTCTGACAAGCAATTACATCTTTCTCTCAAGAATCAAGTATGTTGACTATCTAAATCTGATACCAATAAGAAAAGAAAAGATGAAAACAAAAATTTCAAGGTGCCATGACATTTATACAACAAAACTGAAAATCAATAGTCAAGCTTTGTGCAAAAACAAATAAAACCCAGAAAACAAAACGTATAAAATCTAGGGGCAGATCACTCATGATGCAAGTTTGTAGATTGCAGGCTTACCTCTGAAACGTTGCTCCAATTATCCGCAGATTGCCTTCTATAATTGTGCAGTTTTCAAAATCTCGAATGTTCTGGGCATTTAAATAATCACTGACTAACCCAGCACACTCTGTTTGTTTTCACATCAATTGTGTTTTAATTTGTTTCACATGTTTTTGGTATTTTAATTTTGTTATTGTTGAAAATTTGCAACAGGGAAAAACCATTGCATGGGATAGATTTATTATGTTACAATTTATTAAATTTTTTATTAGAGGGGAAAAAGTATAATTAATTTGGTACAGAATTGAATGTATAAATTTTAATTGCAGATTTTAATGCCAATGATACATATATGATGAAGGACCATAATTTTATCAGTTATATTTGAGAGGAAGTTCGATTATTGAGAACATATGATTTTGAGTACATAAAATAGTATTTTTAAAATGTGAATTACGTTACGTGTAATTTTAGTGAGTTACAATTTGGGAATAGTTGACAGATAAATTGCCAATGAAAAATAGTATTAGGGAATAAGGGGTAGAAGAGAATAAAAAACAAAACATGGATTAGTAACGAAACAAACATTACTACATTTTTTTTAAAGTCATGAAACAATTAACAGACAGACAAAGCAGAGATATATTTAGACAGGTAGAGATAGAGAAAGTATATCAGATGACAGAGAAGTAAAAACTGTATACACAAGGGAGATGAATGGTTGTAGACCTCGAGGCAGACCAAGAAGACAATGGAGAAATAATGTGCAGACAGAACAACTGGAAAGAGAACCAAGCAGTCAGATTAATGGAGATGGTGATATCTGCAGCAATGAACTCCAAGGGCTCGGAATGCTGAAGCAGAAAAAGAAGAAGAAGAGGTAGAGAGAGGTAGAGAGAAAGAGAAAGAGAGAGAGAGAGAGAGAGATACAGAAACAGAGACAGACAGACCAACAGTTAGGGTAAATTTTATGTCATACATTGGTTAAATGCCCTTGACCCCCAACCCCATCCTTAGCCAAAAAAATTGTAATCTTTTAAAACCACTGCCTTTTTTTCAGTTGGTGATGTGACTTAATAACAAATGTTAACATACATTAACTAAATTATTATCTGATATCAGTTTATCAATAATCTTTTAGCGTAATACAGCAGATATGGATTTCAACTTCCTGTATTTGTTCAATATTTTAAGTCACTGTAACAGCTTGCCAGTTGTCTTGGCCAGGACTTTTGTTTAACTGTTTCATTTTTATTTGTTTAGACATATTATTACTATGTATAGTTTTTTTTTTTAAAGTTATATTTATATGTCCTTCTTATTGCTACATATAATTTGGTTGAACCTTACGTGTGTTGTCCCTGTGTTGAACAAACTCAGCCTTTACCATAAGCTGAACTTGCTGCAGTAAACAAGCTGATCCATACAAACAATAACAACAGACAATAATGTCTTCATTTAACAGGAAGCTGTTCCAGTTTCCTAGGTGGCAGATTTCCCAGTAGAAATAAACCACTATGAGAAATCTGACTTTTGATGAGGATAAATATGAAGGTGGTTCCCAGAAAAGCCAGATTTTTAACATATTCTAGCCAAATGTAAATAACCAAGACATCATCCACTGACTGGGGCTGAAAGAATAAATAAATACAGGATATCTGAAGAAAAACCAAGGCATTACAAGATATCTAGCTATTCTTCATTTGTCTAACCATAAGAGTCAATAGAAGTTAGCTGTTGTATGCTGAGAAGTTCAGGTGGACAGGGATGTTGCTAGATGAGCAAGATTGAAAGAGAGATACATACTTCTAGGGCATGGACCATTGCATGGCTTGCAATGCTTCTGGTCCTCCGCATGAGAATTCTCTGCACACTGACGGACGCAAGAGTTGCCATCTTGGAGCAGGAATTCTGAGGAACAATATTTACATTTTATTTTCTTAGCTGCTTTCATAATCATCATCATCTTCATCATCATCTTCATCATCATCCCCGTTATCTAACTGGCATCAATTATTATATTCATATTACAGAAAAGTGTTTGGCCATTCATATACTCTTTCTCATGTCAATTTACCTTCTGCGATCAGCTGGGTTATATCTTCAAGATGTTTGTTGATATTCGTTAACGGTGGTCATATCTCTTGTCAAGAAGAATTTGACAATCTTTTGTATTGTTTTCTCCTAGTTACAATATTCAATTTTCCCCTTATAAATATAATAATAACGACTTCTTATCAATGCTTCTACAAATTCCTTGTTTTTATTCAGTGCTCCAGTTGCACTGAAGGCTACTACCACCTGCCTGGATCATTCCAGTACTCCTTAGTTATACCCTTGGCTACTATTGCTTCCCTGATGCCCTAAAGCGTGCTTGGTATACACTAGACGTCACACAGACACAAAATTACCACGACATTTGGTGACAGAGACACAAACTTACCAGGACATTTGGTGACACACGTCACACTGACACAAACTTACCAGGACATTTGGTGACACAGACACAAACTTATCAGGACATTTGGTGACACAGACACAAACTTACCAGGACATTTGGTGACACAGACACAAACTTACCAGGACATTTGGTGACACACGTCACACAAACTTACCAGGACATTTGGTGACACACGTCACACAGACACAAACTTACCAGGACATTTGGTGACACACGTCACACAAACACAAACTTACCAGGACATTTGGTGATACGTCACACAGACACAAACTTACCAGGACATTTGGTGACACACGTCACACAAACACAAACTTACCAGGACATTTGGTAACACACGTCACACAAACACAAACTTACCAGGACATTAGGTGACACAGACACAAACTTACCAGGACATTTGGTGACACAGACACAAACTTACCAGGACATTTGGTGACACACGTCACACAAACACAAAATTACCAGGACATTTGGTGATACGTCACACAGACACAAACTTACCAGGACATTTGGTGACACATGTCACACAAACACAAACTTACCAGGACATTTGGTGACACACGTCACACAAACACAAACTTACCAGGACATTTGGTGACACACGTCACACAAACACAAACTTACAAGGACATTAGGTGACACAGACACAAACTTACCAGGACATTTGGTGACACAGACACAAACTTACCAGGACATTTGGTGACACACGTCACACAAACACAAACTTACCAGGATATTGGTGATACGTCACACAGACACAAACTTACCAGGACATTTGGTGACACACGTCACACAAACACAAACTTACCAGGACATTTGGTAACACACGTCACACAAACTTACCAGGACATTAGGTGACACAGACACAAACTTACCAGGACATTTGGTGACACAGACACAAACTTACCAGGACATTTGGTGACACACGTCACACAAACTTACCAGGACATTTGGTGATACGTCACACAGACACAAACTTACCAGGACATTTGGTGACACACGTCACACAAACACAAACTTACCAGGACATTTGGTGACACACGTCACACAAACACAAACTTACCAGGACATTTGGTGACACACGTCACACAAACTTACCAGGACATTTGGTGACACACATCACACAAACACAAACTTACAAGGACATTAGGTGACACAGACACAAACTTACCAGGACATTTGGTGACACAGACACAAACTTACCAGGACATTTGGTGACACACGTCACACAAACACAAACTTACCAGGACATTTGGTGATACGTCACACAGACACAAACTTACCAGGACATTTGGTGACACACGTCACACAAACACAAACTTACCAGGACATTTGGTGACACAGACAGATCCAAATGTGTATTTCATGTTTTCATTTGGCACGTTGACCATCTTAGTTTTGTCGTAGACAGATTCTTTAGGACAGAATGCCACACACTCGCCTTCGTCTATGTAATTGTGACAGGCCTGTTGACGGATAAGGACATATAGGTAGAAGATACAAATAATGTATCTCATTAGATACTGCTATAGCATCCTTATTATTATCATCACATTATCACTGTAAACAGGCTATCAAAACTCAAAAATCATAAGAAAAAAAAGAAATATATATATATATATATATAATATATATATATAATATATATATATATATATTATATATATATATATATATATATATATATATATATATATATATACTAGCTGTACCCGGCCACGCGTTGCTGTGGCGTAATTTGAGATAGTCTTTGATCCCCCCCCACCCCCCCCCCCCCCACCCCCACTCACAAACTAAATCCACCTAGTACTCTCTCCCTCATCAAAGTTTTTAGAAAAGAAAGACAATGGAAATCGCACCTGTCTAATGAAGTTAATGACGCAGTCAATGTCTGTGCCGACGTCGAGATAGTCCTTGATTCCCCCCCCCCCCCCCCCCCCTTTAGATAGGTTTGTTTTGAAAAAAAAAAAAAGAAAATAGAAATCGTGTTTAATATGGTTATTGTGGCAAATATAGAGATAGTCTTGTTTGCGGTACCTCGACCTACTCTATGTATTAGTATTAGAGAAGGCGTTGGCTGCACGTAACTCGCCGGCGTATGGTAAATACGGCGCATGCCCAATTACTAACGTGGCTATAATTAGAAATCACTAAAGTTTTAAATATTAGTTGCGTATATTTTGGCATAAATTGTGGTCATCTATCTCTAACAGTGACAGGTTGAATTTCAAACCACGACGGTTCAAAATCCGGTATCACAACAAACATATCCTGAAAATTTCAGCTAAATCGGTTCAGTAGTTTCCGAGTCTATAGAGATGAAACAAACACACAAACATTGATTTTTTGTATATATATATATATATATATATATATATATATATAATATATATATATATATATATATATAAAATATATATATATATATATATATATATATATATATATATATAAAAATACACAACAGTCAGAGTACAAAACTAACACAATAGTCAGAGTAAAAAACAGTCAGAAACAAACTAACACAACAGGCAGAGTAGCAAACTAACACAACAGGCAGAGTAAAAAACTAACATAACAGTCAGACTAACAAACAAACACAACAGTCAGACTAACAAACTAACACAACAGGCAGAGTAACAAACTAACACAATAGTCAGAGTAAAAAACTAACATAACAGTCAGACTAACAAACAAACACAACAGTCAGAAACAAACTAACACAATAGGCAGAGTAACAAACTAACACAATAGTCAGAGTAACAAACTAACACAATAGTCAGAGTAACAAACTAACACAATAGTCAGAGTAACAAACTAACACAATAGTCAGAGTAACAAACTAATACAACAGGCAGAGTAACAAACTAACACAATAGTCAGAGTAACAAACACAATAGTCAGAGTAAAAAACTAACACAACAGGCAGAGTAATAAACTAACACAACAGTCAGAGTAACAAACTAACACAACAGGCAGAGTAACAAACTAACACAACAGGCAGAGTAACAAACTAACACAACAGGCAGAGTAACAAACTAACACAACAGTCAGAGTAACAAACTAACACAACAGTCAGAGTAACAAACTAACACAACAGGCAGAGTAACAAACTAACACAACAGTCAGACTAACACACTAGCAAAACACAAATAAAAAAAATAAAACAACAATAAATAGGCAGACTTACAAAACAGTCTGTCTTCAACTGTCCAGTGCAGCCTCCAGCACACTGAGGGTGGCAGCACTGGTTGGGCAGACTTCCGTAACATCGACTTCCTCCACAGTTTCCATGACAGACATCTCCGTAGCTCACTGCAAAATGAGCAGAAATGTTCAACTTTACCTAAAACACACCAATAAAAGCATGTCTGTTCCATAGATTTTCAACAGACCCTGACAGATATGTGCTGATCTAAGAAACATTCTATTTTTACTTATGATAATGAAAATATGCTCATATTAATGTTTAAAGTTCTACTCACACTTCTAGCACATGTGAATATACTTTTATATTTGGTACAATTTCTACTCACACTTCTGGCACATAGAATAGACTTTTATATTTGGTACAATTTCTACTCACACTTCTGGCACATAGAATAGACTTTTATATTTGGTACAATTTCTACTCACACTTCTGGCACATAGAATAGACTTTTACATTTGGTACAATTTCTACTCACACTTCTGGCACATAGAATAGACTTTTACATTTGGAACAATTTCTACTCACACTTCTGGCACATGTCCGGTCCTTCACCCCAACAGTGCTTGGCCTTGGTGACTGCATTGTAGCAGCTGTCATGACACTGTCCGCCTGCAGGGAGAAAAAAATGTTTCATCTACTTGCAACCAATCATCAAACACTGACTTCTCTCTGGCAAACTCCACCTGTTGGCTTTTTGACTGGTTGTCTGTTTGCTTGCTGAATGTTCTAGAAGCTTGTCATCCCAAAGCCAGATGAGATGATTCCTGTAATCCTGTGATATTTTAGCCTTCAAGAGCTTGCATTTAATGGTGTGAGTTTGTCGCTGTAAGGTTTACTTCTGACTTATTACCAAAGTATTATTTCAATAGACAATGCTGCAGGCCTGCCCTTCCCCTCTCTGAGCTCACAGAAAAGTAAAATGTGCAAGATCAGCAAGGTCAGTGGGATGTGCTAAGTCAGTGGGATGTGCTAGGTTAGTGGGATGTGCTAGGTCAGTGGGAAGTGCTAAGTCAGTGGGATGTGCTAGGTCAGTGGGATGTGCTAGGTCAGTGGGAGGTGCTAAGGTCAGTGGGATGTGCTAAGTCAGTGGGATGTGCTAGGTCAGTGGGATGTGCTAGGTCAGTGGGATGTGCTAAGTCAGTGGGATGTGCTAAGTCAGTGGGATGTGCTAAGTCAGTGGGATGTGCTAGGTGAGTGGGATGTGCTAAGTCAGTGGGATGTGCTAAGTCAGTGGGATTTGGTAAGTCAGTGGGATGTGCTAAGTCAGTGGGATGTGCTAAGTCAGTAAAGAAACCACATTTGTTTACAGGCTTCTTGGGATGTGCTAAGCAAATAATGATAAGCTAAGCAGAGTGGGACTGTGCTGAGATGTTGCATGGGATGTGCTAGGTCATGTGGGCTGTGCTAAGTCAGTGGCTATGTGAATGTAGGACAGTGGGATAGTGCTACATCCACACTCGAGCTCTCAGTCTCAGAAAAGAATGCAGCAGAAGCTGTTGGTAGCCAATAAGCACAATTTTGTATACAATATACTGTGCTAATTCAAACAAATACCCAATTTTCATGCTCTGGTATTTAAACAAATAAACAACTAGATCTTGTCTGTCTCCTCCTGGATTGAAGTCGCATGATGAACACCCCAAGGATAAAAATCCTACCCGAGCTAGGTCAGTGGGACCAACCCCATGTATCCCTTTTAACTGTGCTAGGTTACAGATGTGGATAGGTCAGTAAGCTGTGCCAATCAGTGGGATGATGACTAGGTCAGTGGGATGTTCTCACAGGTGGGATAGCTAATCAACAGTTGACGAGTGACAGATCAACATTGTGTCTGCAGTTTTTGCTCTGGGTCCAATCTAGACTTTATATTTTTCCAAGCCATCATCTGACACCATTCAGCTTCATTTCTTGTGAATCTTTTCGTGACCCTCCAGTGCCTGCCTTTTGTGCGTCTTCTATTTTCTTCTAATTGTTCACATCACCAAAGACACTCACTGATTGGCCTCTTTCTGACGGGTGTGTCTAAGGTTCTACTTCGGCTGGGTGTTCACAGACGATCGTTAAAAACAACAGCACACCTGACAACACATTCAATAATAATAAACAGAACACAGGTCAAAGTTAGACAACTTTAGGCTCCAGAATAATCTGTGAACTAACAGCAGTTGCATCCCCTTGTGACGTTGTGTTGGGCTGTCACAGTCGACCTGAGGCACATTGGGCATTCTCATGCGTGCTCAGCCCTCCGATTCAGCTGTTACTCCAAGATATCTTGACCTACACCTTAATTAGACATGGAAGAGGGTACATAGATTTTGTCCCGTTGTACTGCCATCCAGGAAACCACTTTGAAGTCGGAGGCCGGTCACAATTTCCGTTTCGCAATCCAGCGGACAAAAACAGAGATAAACGAAGGGAATGAATGCTCGCTGGCACAGGAGGGTAGGCAGCCCAGGCCGGTGTCTTCAATATCGGCGCTGAAATTATAATTTCTTTGTTTTTGAACAAGATTTGCCCGGCCGACTTGCCATCCAGATTGAGACGCTTAATCTCAGGGTGTCAAACCTTCGGGTAGGAAGCTGGTTGGTAGAACGTCAATAAGCACAGTTTTGTATACAATAGAACTGTCCATCTGTGATTCAAACAAATCCCTTAAGTGTCATCCCTTAGTATCAAATAAACAACTAGATCTTGTCTGTCTCCTCCTGGATTAGTCGCATGATGAACAGTTTCCCATAGGAGCGTAAAATCCTACGTCGACACACATGTCAGTAAGTGCTGTCCCAGTGAGTTTACACTGTGGACCTCACAGATACTGGTCCAGGTGCTTCATAGTGAGCGTACACAGGGATGACGACTGCACACACATATGTTGGTCCAGTGAATTTCATAGTGAGCGTAACATATGACGTCAACAGATCACATTGTGTCAGTTTTTGCATAGTGAGGTACCATCTACGCCAACACATATGTCCAAGCCAGTGCATCTCACACCAGTCAGCTTCATTTCTTGATACTTTTCGTGACCCTCCAGTTGCCTGCCTTTGCTGTCGTCTTTGATTTTATTCTACACAGATACGTCAACACATATGTTGGTCCAGTGCTGTCATAGTGAGCGTACACAGATACGTCAACACATATGTTGGTCCAGTGCTGTCATAGTGAGCGTACACAGATACGTCAACACATATGTTGGTCCAGTGCTGTCATAGTGAGCGTACACAGATACGTCTACAGAATGTTGGTCAGTGCTGAACTAACAGCAGTTCACCATCCCCTTGTGACGATGAGTGGCTGTCACCATAAGCGACCTGAGGAAGATTGGGCATTCTCATGCGTGCGCCAGGCCCTCCCGAAGAAGAAGTTACTCCAAGAATATCTTGACCTAGAAACCTTAAGAAACGTGAAAGAGGGTAAGAAGATTTTGAGAAGAAGAAGAAGAATCCAGAAGAAGAAAACTTTGAAGAAGAAGAAGAATAAAAAAGAAGAAGAAGAAGAAGAAGAAATCCAGAAGAAGAAAAGAAGAGAAGAAGACGAAGAAGAAGAAGAAGAAGAAGAAGAAGAAGAAGCAGAAGGAGAAAAAAGAAGAAGAAGAAGCCGAAGAAGAAGATAGAAGAAGAAGAAGAAGAAGAAGAATTTCTTTGTTTTTGAAGAAGATTTGAAGAAGAAGAAGAAGAAGAAAAGAAGATTGAAGAAGAAGAAGATCTCAAGAAGAAGAACCTTCGGGTAGAAGAACCTGAAGTGCGAAGAAAAGAAGAAGAAGAAGAAGAAGAAGAAGAACAGAACTGACTCAAGTGAAAAAGAAGATCAGACCTTAAGAAGAAGAAGAAGAAGAAGAAAGAAGATAGAAGAGGATAGAAGTTTTCTGAAGAAGAAAAGTTGAACAAGAAGAAGAATAAAAGAAGAAGAAGAAGAAGAAGAAGAAGAAGAAGAAGAAGAAGAAGAAGAGAAGAAGAAGAAGAAGGAAGAAGAAGAAGAAGAAGAAGAAGAAGAAGAAGAAGAGAAGAAGAAGAAGAAGAAGAAGAAGAAGAAGAAGAAGAAGAAGAAGAAGAAGAAGAAGAAGAAGAAGAAGAAGAAGAAGAAGAAGAAAAAGTTGAAGAAGAAGAAGAATAAAAAAAAAAGAAGAGCAAAACACAACATAATTTTTTACTGAAAGCATGCCTTAGGCACACTGGGCAAATGGTTCTAATTCTTAATTTGCATACACCAACGTTACTAGTGCAGCCCAAACCATATCAGCGTCTTTTATTCAACAAAAATATGCCCATGTTGCAAGTAATTAGCTATGAACCTTGTATCCATGTTGCAAGTGATCAGGTAGGAGCCTTGTATCCATGTTGCAAGTGATTAGCTATGAACCTTGTATCCATGTTGCAAGTAATTAGCTATGAACCTTGTATCCATGTTGCAAGTAATTAGCTATGAACCTTGTATCCATGTTGCAAGTAATTAGCTATGAACCTTGTATCCATGTTGCAAGTAATTAGCTATGAACCTTGTATCCATGTTGCAAGTAATTAGCTATGAACATTGTATCCATGTTGCAAGTGGTCAGACAGGAACATTGTATCCATGTTGCAAGTAATTAGCTATGAAGATTGTATCCATGTTGTAAGTGGTCAGACAGGAACATTGTATTCATGTTGTAAGTAATTAGCTATGAACATTGTATCCATGTTGCAAGTGGTCAGACAGGAACCTTGTATCCATGTTGCAAGTGGTCAGATAGGAACCCTGTATCCATGTTGCAAGTGATCAGCTAGGAGATTAGTATCCATGTCACAAGTGGTCAGACAGGAGTCTTGTATCCATGTTGCAAGTGGTCAGATAGGAACCTTGTATCCATGTTGCAAGTGATCAGGTAGGAGCCTTGTATCCATGTTGCAAGTGATCAGCTAGGAGATTAGTATCCATGTCATAAGTGGTCAGACAGGAGCCTTGTATCCATGTCACAAGTGATCAGGTAGGAACCTTGTATCCATGTAGCAAGTGATCAGGTAGGAGCCTTGTATCCATGTAGCAAGTGATCAGGTAGGAGCCTTGTATCCATGTTGCAAGTAATCAGGTAGGAGCCTTGTATCCATGTTGCAAGTGATCAGGTAGGAGCCTTGTATCCATGTAGCAAGTGATCAGGTAGGAGCCTTGTATCCATGTAGCAAGTGATCAGATAGGAACCTTGTATCCATGTAGCAAGCGATCAGGTAGGAACCTTGAATCCATGTAGCAAGTAATCAGGTTGGAGCCTTGTATCCATGTAGCAAGTAATCAGGTAGGAGCCTTGTATCCATGTTGCAAGTGATCAGGTAGGAGCCTTGTATCCATGTAGCAAGTGATCAGGTAGGAGCCTTGTATCCATGTAGCAAGTGATCAGAGGAACTTAGTATCCATATTGCAAGTAATAAGAATGTAACCTAATATCCATGTTGCAAGTGATGGGACAGGAACCTTATATATATGTTGCAAGTGATCAGCTAGGAACTATTCTTCTATGTTTCAAGTGATGAGACAGGAACAGTGTATCCATGTTGCAAATGATCAGCTAGGAACCTTGTATCTATGTTGCAAATGATCAGCTAGGAACCTTGTATCTATGTTGCAAATGATCAGCTAGGAAGCCCTAAGCAGTTGGTCTTGCGGGACTTGAACACATAACTACCAGAACCGCAGGCCAGATTGCCTTCAGATATTTCACTGACTACCTCGACTGCCAAATTCTGAGCAATATTAAAACCTCTGCTGATGTAAACGTCATGGTTCCAGATACAAATATCCAGAGAACAATTTTTTAAGACTAGCAATAAACAGGTCAAAATCCTTTCGCACGCCCATCCGGCAACTTGGGAATAGGGTGTTAGTTTCATATTCTGAGAGACTCAGCTCTGATTATGTCAACATATGGCGGGCCACAAAAACTTGCCCGAACAGCACTCATGGGCCCACAAGGTGGTGACGTCACTTTGTGGTGAAAGGGCTGTAGGGGAAGTTGCGCAACAGGAGTAAACATTATTGGCTGGAAGATTTCAAACAAGGATAAACAAAACAAGAGGCCGACGGGTTGGCATACATGCGGACAAATTTATTTCTGATAGGCATGTATATAGCCAGACAGACAACTCGTCAGAAAGATAAATAGATCATAAAGAACACACAGACTAGTGTGTAAATGAAGTAACATAGTTACAGTCGGGGGAAAAAAAAGGGGGGGGGGTGGAGGGGGACCACACACGAGCTAGCGTGCAGACAGACTGGCGAACAGATCACAGACAGACAGATAAATATCTGGACAGACAAATGAAATTGCGACTGACAAAACTACAGACAGAGGCAGAAGCAGACAGTTATGGTAGCAGGGAGCCTGCCAAGGAGAGGTTGAGAGAGCGAGCCGGGAGTGGCCCAGATACTCACAGTGCTTCTCGGGCGTCTTGATGTGATTGACGAAGAGCACGGGCGGGTCACTCTTGGGGTTGATGTCCTTCCAGTTGATCGTGTCATCGTAACAGAGTCTGTCGTTGTTTTGGAAGAACACTTTTCCAGCCAGGATTTCTGCACACGGAAGCAGACAGAACATTGTGATATTCAAGTAGTAGTAGTAGTAGTAGTAGTAAAAGTATTAGTATTAGTAGTAGTAGTAGTAGTAGTAGTAGTAGTAGTAGTAGTAGTAGTAGTAGTAGTAGTAGAAATAGTATAGTAGTAGTAGTAGTAGTAGTAGTAGTAGTAGTAGTAGTAGTAGTAGTAGTAGTAGTAGTAGTAGTAGTAGTAGTAGTAGTAGTAGTAGTAGTAGTAGTAGTAGTAGTAGAAATAGTATAGTAGAAGTAGTAGTAGTAGTAGTAGTAGTAGTAGTAGTAGTAGTAGTAGTAGTAGTAGTAGTAGTAGTAGATGTAGTAGTAGTAGTAGTAGTAGTAGATGTAGTAGTAGTAGTAGTAGTAGTAGTAGTAGTAGAAGTAGTATAGTAGTAGTAGTAGTATTAGTAGTAGATGTAGTAGTAGTAGTAGTAGTAGTAGAAGTAGTACAGTAGTAGTAGTAGTAGTAGTAGTAGTAGTAGTAGTAGTAGTAGTAGTAGTAGTAGTAGTAGTAGAAGTAGTATAGTAGTATAGTAGTAGTAGAAGTAGTATAGTAGTAGTAGTAGTAGTAGTAGTAGTAGTAGTAGTAGTAGAAGTAGTAGTAGTAGTAGAAGTAGTATAGTAGTAGTAGTAGTAGTAGAAATAGTATAGTAGTAGTAGTAGTAGTAGTAGTAGTAGTAGTAGTAGTAGTAGTAGTAGTAGTAGTAGTAGTAGATGTAGTAGTAGTAGTAGTAGTAGTAGAGTAGTAGTAGTAGTAGTAGTAGTAGTAGTAGTAGTAGTAGTAGTATAGTAGTAGTAGTAGTAGTAGTAGTAGTATGTAGTAGTAGTAGTAGTAGTAGTAGAAGTAGTATAGTAGTAGTAGTAGTAGTAGTAGTAGTAGTAGTAGTAGTAGTAGTAGTAGTAGTAGTAGTAGTAGTATAGTAGTATAGTAGTAGTAGAAGTAGTATAGTAGTAGTAGTAGTAGTAGTAGTAGTATAGTAGTAGTAGTAGTAGTAGTAGTAAATAGTATAGTAGTAGTAGTAGTAGTAGTAGTAGTAGTAGTAGTAGTAGTAGTAGTAGTAGTAGTAGTAGTAGTAGTAGTAGTAGTAGTAGTAGTAGTAGTAGTAGTAGAAGTAGTATAGTAGTAGTAGTAGTAGTAGTAGTAGTAGTAGTAGTAGTAGTAGTAGTAGTAGTAGTAGTAGTAGTAGTAGTAGAAGTAGTATAGTAGTAGTAGTAGTAGTAGTAGTAGTAGTAGTAGTAGTAGTAGTAGTAGTAGTAGTAGTAGTAGTAGTAGTAGTAGTAGATGTAGTAGTAGTTGTAGTAGTAGATGTAGTAGTAGTAGTAGTAGTAGTAGTAGTAGTAGTAGTAGTAGTAGTAGTAGTAGTAGTAGTTAGTAGAAGTAGTATAGTAGTAGTAGTAGTAGTAGTAGTAGTAGTATAGTAGTAGTAGTAGTAGTAGTAGTAGTAGTAGTAGTAGTAGTAGTAGTAGTAGTAGTAGTAGTAGTAGTAGTAGTAGTAGTAGTAGTAGTAGTAGTAGTAGTAGTAGTAGTAGTAGTAGTAGTAGTAGTAGTAGTAGTAGTAGTAGTAGTAGTAGTAGTAGTAGTAGTAGTAGTAGTAGTAGTAGTAGTAGTAGTAGTAGTAGTAGTAGTAGTAGTAGTAGTAGTAATAGTAGTAGTAGTTCTTGCAGGGAAGGTATAGTTTTGAGTCAACAAAATATGGTGGAATGTGGAAAAACAAAAGATGCAGTCCTACTTGATAGAGTCCTAAACATGATTAACAAGTAGATTTAGACGTCAATATTTGTGGACATGTTACGAGATGGGATAGACTGGAGAACTTGGTTACCACCGGCTAGAGACTGCTGGAACATGTGCAAGGGGAGGCATGGAAACATGGCAGCCGACTTGATATCGGCAGCACGCATGATAGTGACTAGTCGCAGCAGAAAAATCAGCAGCAGTAGTTGAAATTTTCGTCTATGGCGGTGTGGTAATTTCAGTACCACAAGAAATAACCAGTTGTAGCTGAAATAATAGTATGTGGTGATGCTATTAGACCCATAAAATACACACAAGCCTGTCATTCAAAGAGCTGGGATTAACAGCAAATATTCCACAGTCGGATTGACTGATGTATGGCAAACCAGATGTTATCAAAGACCATTGGAAGCAAGTAAACAGCACAGACGCACAAAGAGATCATCACTGTATGGAGATATTGGTGCTGCGTGGAATAACAGCGATCTGGTCAACACTCAGGGACAGCCAAAGACGGACACACAGAGTTCATCACTGTATGGAGATATTGGTGCCGCGTGGAGTGACGGGGATCTGGCCAACACTCAGGGACAGGCAAAGACGGACACACATCAGATTTAAAACTCTGTGCAAACTGCAGAAGATGAGGCGGGGTTGGGGGGGGGGAAGCGTTTATGAGAATATCGTGTGCTCTGATGTCAGATCTGAAACAAACTCAACTCTACAGATAAGGACAATATTAAGTCAGTGGCCTCGTACCAGCAGCAGAACATACCTGATAAGTTGGTGAAGCGAAGCTCCTTGAGGCCTCGCGAGCCACCGATCTCATAGTTGAGGGCCACGAACAAGCTGTAGGTGCTGTTGGTTTTGTTGTGGTAGAACAACGGGCTGCCTCGGATGATCCTCAGGCTGGTTAAAGGGATATAATCGGCAATGTTTCCTGATATCAGCACGTAACCTGTTGGCAGAAGACAAGGTTCAGCGTTAGTCAACTATGTCAAGCACGTAATCTGTTGGGAGAAGATGAGGTTCAGCGTTAGTCAACTATGTCAAGCACGTAATCTGTTGACAGAAGATGAGGTTCAGCGTTAGTCAACTATGCCAAGCACGTAATCTGTTTGCAGAAAACAAGGTTCGGCGTTAGTCAACTATGTCAAGCACGAAACCTGTTGGCAGAAGATAAGGTTCAGCGTTAGTCAACTATGTCAAGTACGTAATCTGTTGGCAGAAGATGAGGTTCAGCGTTAGTCAACTATGTCAAGCACGTAACCTGTTGGCAGAAGATGAGGTTCAGCGTTAGCCAACTATGTCAAGCACGTAATCTGTTGGCATAAGATGAGGTTTAGCGTTAGTCAACTATGTCAAGCAACCTGTTCACGCCTATGGTGGCGTATGCCCCAAATGGTATTAGATTCATATTTTTTCTAGATCAGTTCAATAAGGGATGCAATCAACACCATGCTGATTGTTTTTACTTCCAGCGAGATTTCCTGGTACATATTTTAGGTCTACAACCCCCCTCCCCCAAACAAACAAACAAAAAGTTATTTAATTGGAAGCTTTTTGCTTGCGGGGAAAAGAGGGGAGAGGGGGCTCCTGAAGTTGCAACCTGCAAAATATTAAACCATTTCTAGACGTTGGGTTCAAGAGGCATAAGTCTTGTTTCAGTGAAGAATAAAAATAATAAGCTGAATGGTAAATAAAAACTATATATATATATATATATAAACAATAATATGATATGAGGTTTGAGTTTTGAACAACCGATCAACATCATGGCACACGGGTAGTAACCCATGAGTGCTCTGTTCATCTTCTAACTCAAGTCTTGAGATTAGCCTATACACTAACAGATCAACAAAACAATCAACCAAATAATCAACCAAACAGTCATTCAACCAGAGTATCCAACTCACGTATAGATCATCGAAACAATTAGCCACCCATCAGTCAACTGTACATTCAACCAGAGTATCCAACTCACGTATAGATCATCGAAACAATTAACCACCCATCAGTCAACTGTACATTCAACCAGAGTATCCAACTCACGTATAGATCATCGAAACAATTAGCCACCCATCAGTCAACTGTACATTCAACCAGAGTATCCAACTCACGTATAGATCATCGAAACAATTAACCACCCATCAGTCAACTGTACATTCAACCAGAGTATCCAACTCACGTATAGATCATCGAAACAATTAACCACCCATCAGTCAACTGTACATTCAACCAGAGTTGCCAACTCACGTATAGATCATCGAAACAATTAACCACCCATCAGTCAACTGTACATTCAACCATCCCAAAACAGCTAAACCATTATCCAAAAAACTATCCAGTAAGTGAAAGAAGCCAATTTTCAAACAAGCAACTAAACCAGTCAAGCAGCTAAGCCAACCGACCAGAACTGTCACTCTCACATCTTAGTCCTAGCTAGGCCCCCTTTGATTAGCGCCAGCAACACCTGTCTACTATCACTCTCACATCTTAGTCCTAGCTAGGCCACCTTTGATTAGTGCCAGCAACACCTGTCTACTATCACTCTCACATCTTAGTCCTAGCTAGGCCACCTTTGATAAGTGCCAGCAACACCTGTCTACTATCACTCTCACATCTTAGTCCTAGCTAGGCCACCTTTGATTAGTGCCAGCAACACCTGTCTACTATCACTCTCACATCTTAGTCCTAGCTAGGCCCCCTTTGATCAGTGCCAGCAACACCTGTCTACTATCACTCTCACATCTTAGTCCTAGCTAGGCCACCTTTGATTAGTGCCAGCAACACCTGTCTACTATCACTCTCACATCTTAGTCCTAGCTAGGCCCCCTTTGATCAGTGCCAGCAACACCTGTCTACTATCACCCTCACATCTTAGTCCTAGCTAGGCCACCTTTGATTAATGCCAGCGACACCTGTCTACTATCACTCTCACATCTTAGTCCTAGCTAGGCCACCTTTGATTAGTGCCAGCAACACCTGTCTACTATCACTCTCACATCTTAGTCCTAGCTAGGCCCCCTTTGATCAGTGCCAGCAACACCTGTCTACTATCACTCTCACATCTTAGTCCTAGCTAGGCCCCCTTTGATCAGTGCCAGCAACACCTGTCTACTATCACCCTCACATCTTAGTCCTAGCTAGGCCACCTTTGATTAATGCCAGCAACACCTGTCTACTATCACTCTCACATCTTAGTCCTAGCTAGGCCACCTTTGATTAATGCCAGCAACACCTGTCTACTATAACTCTCACATCTTAGTCCTAGCTAGGCCACCTTTGATCAGTGCCAGCAACACCTGTCTACTATCACCCTCACATCTTAGTCCTAGCTAGGCCCCCTTTGATTAATGCCAGCAACACCTGTCTACTATCACTCTCACATCTTAGTCCTAGCTAGGCCCCCTTTGATCAGTGCCAGCGACACTCACCTGTAACTTCCTTGATCTGCGACAAGAAGCTCATGTCGTATTCGATGGCAGGGTCGTCCAGAAAGACGATCTCCAGGTTGCCAGAGACGTAGGTACAGTTTGTGTACATCTCCTTGTACCGCTTGTACCGGGCCTCGGCGTTGCCGTTGTTGGAGAAACCGGTGGATGTTCCCAGGCATGCTAGGAAGGATACAAACAATAACAGCTGACTGACTTTGTCATACACAGAAACATCATGTCTCCGGGACTGATGTCATACACAGAAACACCATGTCTCCGGGACTGATATCATTCACAGAAACATCATGTCTCAGGGACTGATGTCATACACAGAAACATCATGTCTCCGGGACTGATGTCATACACAGAAACACCATGTCTCCGGGACTGATATCATTCACAGAAACATCATGTCTCAGGGACTGATGTCATACACAGAAACACCATGTCTCCGGGACTGATATCATACACAGAAACACCATGTCTCGGGGACTGATGTCATACACAGAAACACCATGTCTCAGGGACTGATGTCATACACAGAAACACCATGTCTCAGGGACTGATGTCATACACAGAAACATCATGTCTCAGGGACTGATGTCATACACAGAAACACCATGTCTCAGGGACTGATGTCATACACAGAAACATCATGTCTCAGGGACTGATGTCATACACAGAAACATCATGTCTCGGGGACTGATATCATACACAGAAACATCATGTCTCAGGGACTGATATCATATACAGAAACATCATGTTTTCTTGAGCATACTGGAATAGCGGACTAATTAACAAGTATCGATTTCGACTCAGTACAAAGAATTTATTAAAAGAGGAGAAGAACGCAGAACCTGATGTAGACCAAGACCACTAGGAATAGATAACACCAGAGACACTCTACAATAATAGGTTGTATATATGATCGAGACTATCGGAAAAGCAAGAAGTATAACCGTATATCTCCACTGACACACGAAAAGATAAAACAGGGAGTGAAGAAGAACAAGAAGATCTGCATTTATATAAGTAAAGACATTCTCGTATCCACTGTTCTTCGCTAGATGATCAATGTCTGGGAATTTTACCTCTGATATCAAATCATATCTTGAAACTTTCCACCAAAGCTCAGCCACTGCTGAACGTATATGTGTGTTTTATAGTTCTGTTGGGAAATGGACTGGTGCATGCTGACAATGGAATGCCCAAAACCTGTAGAGAAAACACGATCAAGCTAGGACAGAGGGACACACTCCCGTTTATGGATGGGAGTGGCAGAACGTGATTGCCATAACAGCATCATCAGTTCAACAATGTAGAAAAGATGGCGAACTTAAACCCCTAACTGGTGCCGCCCACAGTCTGCCCACACAGCTCCGCAACAATCTGTCACAAGTCTGATGGTATATATGTTGGTAGATCTCTCCCTGGCGGTTAGATTATACTCCTTACGTCCTTTTTAGGACGTAATTTTTTGTTATTTGAAGCCCTACTCTGGCTTTTGCCAGGGGCCGCAATATGGGCAGGCCATCAATATGGCCAATTGTTTGAACGCGGTTTCTGGGAGCTCTCTACGGCGATCCTCATCCGCATGGTGGCACTTTGTGTCATCGGGTGTTTGTCGCTTGTGTGATGTCCTGGTGGGGTAGAAAGTCAGTCAGTCAGTCCCTGGCGGTTTTATAACTCTTTCCCTCTCTATTCCCCCTCCCACTCTTTACGTTCTGACATTCACTGCAAGTGATAAGACTAACTTCTAAACATAGAATTTGTTAAAAGAAGATATTTTATAAGTCAGCAACAAGGAAACAAGAACACAACAGTGGCAGAAGACCGGATGTTCTACTTTGATTGGACGCTAACGAATCGGAAGTGACCTTATCTTGTGGAGCAAGGGTCAGAGGTCGTTCATTTACTGATAATCCTAAATTTGGTTTCGTGAAAGAGCGCCCCCCCCCCTCCCCCCCCCCCCAGACCTGCTACCACCCAAGGGTTCTTGATTTCGCCAGGCTGAGTGCAGACTGGCAGGTCGGTCACGGCTATCAGAGCCGGCAGGCTGGCCACAGGCAACTGTAGCCGCCATTATCACCAGCTGGTAGGCGTTGTCTTAGGGGTGCGGTGTCTGCCTCTGATTCTAGCGGTGCTGCGTAGATATTCAGAAAGGCATGCCTCCAACAGATAACATGTCTAGCAAGGAAGGGCCTCATTACTGTTACAGACAGGGCCGCTATCACAGTTAGTTTCACCGACACCTCGGTCAGTTGGACACCGACCGTGTAACAGAACAGAATAACAGTGATTCAAATACATCGGTAGACAGTTAGTCATATGTAACATTCTCCTGAACACCGTCCCCCGCCAACAGTTTACACAAGTGTTTTTCTCTCTCTCCCTCCCCGCCCTCCTCCCACCCCTTCCAAATAATAATTACAGTAAAATCTCGGAATTCGAACAAAATCCGATCCGACACGGCGTTCGAATTCTAAATCGTTTGAGTTCGAATGCAATTAAAACAATGGAAACTTATCTGTTCTAGGGCCCATCAAACTTAACTTTTAAAATGTATTTTCTGTAAAACAGAACACTGTCAGTATAGTCACACTGTCAGTATAGTCACACTGTCAGTATAGTCACACTGTCCGTATAGTCACACTGTCAGTATAGTCACACTGTCAGTATAGTCACACTGTCCGTATAGTCACACTGTCCGTATAGTCACACTGTCAGTATAGTCACACTGTCCGTATAGTCACACTGTCCGTATAGTCACACTGTCCGTATAGTCACACTGTAGTCACACTGTCAGTATAGTACACTGTACTGTCACACTGTCAGTATAGTAGTCAGTATAGTCACACTGTCAGTATAGTATAGTCACACTGTCCGTATAGTCACAGTCACACTGTCAGTATAGTCACACTGTCAGTATAGTCACACTGTCAGTATAGTCACACTGTCAGTATAGTCACACTGTCAGTATAGTCACACTGTCAGTATAGTCACACTGTCACACTGTCAGTATAGTCACACTGTCAGTATAGTCACACTGTCAGTATAGTCACACTGTCAGTATAGTCACACTGTCAGTATAGTCACACTGTCAGTATAGTCACACTGTCAGTATAGTCACACTGTCAGTATAGTCACACTGTCAGTATAGTCACACTGTCAGTATAGTCACACTGTCAGTATAGTCACACTGTCAGTATAGTCACACTGTCAGTATAGTCACACTGTCAGTATAGTCACACTGTCAGTATAGTCACACTGTCAGTATAGTCACACTGTCAGTATAGTCACACTGTCAGTATAGTCACACTGTCAGTATAGTCACACTGTCAGTATAGTCACACTGTCACACTGTCAGTATAGTCACACAGTATAGTCACACTGTCAGTATAGTCACACTGTCAGTATAGTCACACTGTCAGTATAGTCACACTGTGTATAGTCACTGTCAGTATAGTCACACTGTCAGTATAGTCACACTGTCAGTATAGTCACACTGTCAGTATAGTCACACTGTCAGTATAGTCACACTGTCAGTATAGTCACACTGTCAGTATAGTCACACTGTCAGTATAGTCACACTGTCAGTATAGTCACACTGTCAGTATAGTCACACTGTCAGTATAGTCACACTGTCAGTATAGTCACACTGTCAGTAGTCACACTGTCAGTATAGTCACACTGTCACACTGTCAGTATAGTCACACTGTCAGTATAGTCACACTGTCAGTATAGTCACACTGTCAGTATAGTCACACTGTCAGTATAGTCACACTGTCAGTATAGTCACACTGTCAGTATAGTCACACTGTCAGTATAGTCACACTGTCAGTATAGTCACACTGTCAGTATACACACTGTCAGTATAGTCACACTGTCAGTATAGTCACACTGTCAGTATAGTCACACTGTCAGTATAGTCACACTGTCAGTATAGTCACACTGTCAGTATAGTCACACTGTCAGTATAGTCACACTGTCAGTATAGTCACAATGATGATTGTATTTCAATAAGTGGACAAGACTCGATCGTGTTGCCACTTCTCATCAACTTCTCGCCTTTCCCACAACACGGTTACCAAATCTTGGAGTCCAGCAAATGCTAATTCTTCCAGCTTGCCCTTGTTTCTTCCCGGGAAAATATTATTTTGCAATTTCCTTCTTATGCTGCTGGAAAGGGTACTAAAGCTCCTATGTATGTTGTCAGCTCAGTCGCATGATCGGACACTCCAGGTGTTCGGTTTCCAAGGAGGCGTTCGAATTCAGAGACAAAATTGGCTTACAAATTTTGTTTGGTTTATTTCTAGATTAGATGCGTTCGGATTCCGAGTTACCACGGTATATTTATTTGCTATTCAGCACATAATTCTTATTATAAGTATGTTAGACACGCAACCAAGGCTTGGCACTTTCTCACACCCCGCCCCAAATAGAACATTACACAAATTCATGAATACCAAATAAGAGACGGAGTAGAAACTTGGAGTCAGATGGCATATTGTGCACATGGAGTTAGCGACGGGAGATGGCAACAGGGCAGGCTGACTTGGGGCTAGTTAGTTGAGGGTCTATGCTCCAGTCTCCGATAGAGAGCAGAAAACGAGATATTTCAGCGGAGACGCCCAAGCGGCAAACATCCATGTGTTCAACGATCTACAAGCCAGATTTCGTCCTCGTTTTAAGCCAGAAAAACAAGCGTCAAAAGTTACCATATCACCACTGTGTAACCTGTTTACGTTCCTATAGTTACCAAGCAGACATAAATATTTAGTTAACACATGTGTTGCAGTTGTGGTGGGATTTGGTGTTTAATGTCGACATAGCTGAAGGTCACACGGAGTCTTGATGTCATTACCGAGATCAGACCAACCTTGCACTGGCCCGCTGCCGCACAGGAAAGCTTTCGGAAATTATTAATAACCCGCCGTTCTTAAGGAATAATACGGTATTAGTACTCACTGAATTGATCATTGGCTTATATTTGTGTGTAAGTAAACTCACGTGTGTGTGTGTGTGTGTGTACACGAAAGCTTTTCAGTTCGCCCCTCCCTCAGCCTGTTTGTCTGTCCGCATGTCTGTCTGCCGATTTCTTGCCTGTTTCCTACCACTCCATTTATTTAGTTGTCTGATCGTCTTCCGTCTGTCTGTATGTCTGATGGCAACCGTTCTCA